ATTATTATCTTTAATAAGTAGTTCTTTTAATTTTCTTATCTGTCTGTAAATATTACTATTTTAACTTATTAATTTTATACATGTCTGTAAGGGACCCCACTGGAAATAAGCTCTCGAGCTTTCGTGGGTTATCCTGTTCAAGCTGACTTTTTTTGGATCTGTTATTATTGTATATTGTTGTATGTTGGAAGCTTGTCGAATAAAAATCAATCAATCAGTTACAACCGAGGATAGATTGGTGTCTTCATTGCTTTTTTCTATTATGGGCAGAATGTAGTATCCCCCCGGCCCCCCCCCCCCCCCCCCCCCCACTCAGAGGTCGGAATGACCGCATGCGTGTTGCCAAAATGTCCGGTAAAGGGGTATACTTTTCGTGCGACAAAGTCCGGCCCGAGATTTTCAAAAAAGGGGGTGTATTTGACTTTTCACCCGGAGATTTCTTTAAAAAGGGGGTGACTTTCTTTTTCTCTCTCATCTCTTTGGACTCCTGAGAAATTATTCCGAATTTAGGGGGGTACATTGAGCATTTTTCCTGATTTAGGGGGGTCTCCAAGGCAGGAAAAGCCCGCGAAAAGCCCGCGAAAGGGGGGTTCGAAAATGTTGGCAGTCCTCAGATAGGGGGTGCTTTCAAAAAGAGGGTACGAGCATATGCGTACCCTAAATAACACTGAGTGGGGGGGGGGGCCGGGAGTATCCCATTCCGTCATTATGATTAACTGATTTTGCACTGTCCTAATGCTCATATTTTGTTATTTACATCGTTTTTTTTAAACCATTATGTTGCCAGTCTGAGTTTCTGTTTCAGCTCGCTCGCTCTCTCTCTCTCGCTCTCTCTCTCTCTCTCTCTCTCTCTCTCTCTCTCTCTCCCTCTCTCTCTCTCTCTCTCTCCCCCCCTCTCTCTCTCTCTCTCTCTGCCCAAATCCACGTCGGCCATTATCTCTCCCCCTCTCGGCTCGTATGATTTTTTAAGGGTCGTTTTGGGGGATTTTTATCGAAGTAAAGCCCATTTTTCACAATTTTGAACAAAGGACCCATGTTGAGGGATATTTTGGTTTAAAATGGGACCCATATTTAGGGATTTTTTGGGGGGTGAAAAGCTGACCCATTAAAGTGACCGCATGTGACTACACCCCCCCCCCCCCGGGCCTATAGCTGTGAACGGGGGCCATGCGCAGCTGCATGCTGTGAAGTAGATCCACTCGGGGTGCGAGAAATAGTAGAAGGCCTATACTAGTATCCCTATTTAAATATGATATATAGTTACCCCTTTTACTTTGGCAAGTGCCCCCCTGTCTTTGGCAATAAATGCCAATTTTCACATCTTATAAGTAGACCTACCCCTTTTCATCTCTAATGAGGGCATCTTTTTAGGTAAGAGAAGTGTCCATTTTCTCCTCTGATAAGTGCCCCTTTACCTTCTGAAAATTTCACCTGTTTCCTTTTTATCAAGTGCTCCTTTCAAAGTTGATTAGTTTCCCTTCTTATTTTTTAATCTATTTTCCTTTCTATAAATATGCCATTTGGTAAGTGCCCCCCCCCCCCTTTAAAAAAAAATATATATATACATATACCATTGTCACTAACAAAGTGTGCAGCATTTATACGTGCTATAGGCCTATGATCATATTTTTTCTTCACCCCTCCATTCCCCCGGGATAATAGATTTCTCACAGACCCCTTAACATCTGCCCATGTCTTTAGCGACTGGGATATTTTCCCCTCAAACATTCCAAAAACTCGCTACGCTTGCTTGCATCTTTAATTATAGGTGTTGTGGTCGAGTGGATACGTCGCCGGACTGTCGATCACAAGGTCCGCGGTTCGAGTCCCGCCGCCGCACTAATGTCCTGGCAAGACATTGATCTACATTTGCCACACTCCACCCAGGTGAACTAAATGGGTACCTGATAGGAATTTATTCCTTGAAATGCTAGAGCGCCATATGGCAGCCGTGCTAAAGCCAGTGTAATAATCGGGAGCGCCAGGAGGGTCAAATCTGACTGACATGAGCGCTATACAAGAACCCACTATTATTATTATTATTATTATAACATTAATGGGCAAGTCCTCTCCGAAAATAACTTACTTTCAATAGAAGCAGAACAATCAGACGAAACTTTTTTTAAAAGTTTGAGCAAAAAAGGCGGATAACTGATAAAAAAAAGTTATGATTTTTTAATGAAATGAAAAACTTTGAAAATTACGAGACAAATAAATTAACAATAATTGGCAACTCATGAGTATATGTGACGTCATTGCCTCACTATCAACTAATTATTTTCTTTATAATATTGATAATACAAATTTCCAATTTTCCTCCTAAAAATCTTATTTCCTCACACCAGCATCCAAGTTATACTGATAGTAAAAAAAAAATTATCGTGTCGATGCATTCCTATAGAGTATAAAAAAATTAATCACTCTATAGAGTGCTTATTATTATTTTTTTTTGGGGGGGGGGCCGGTGGGGGGGGGGGGCACGTTCCTGTTTGTCAGTACATTTTGGGCGAATTTGGAGCTGGTTCCAACAGTGGGCATTAATTTTTTTTGTTGTTGTTGTTGGCCGGGGGGCACGTGCCCCCTGTGCCCCCCTGGATTTGCCCCTGAATATACATCTATCTCTTTCTCTCTCTCTCTCTCTCGTTCCAATCTCGAACCGACGCCGAACCCGACGCTAGCTCAGAATGTATTGCAGAAAATTAATGACCGTCGTCGGTCAAACAATAATTTTTCGACCGTTTTACTGAACTATTTATTATTCACAACGTACATCGGAGTATAGATGTACAAATTAATAGGTCGGAAAAATTTTCAGATTATTAATATTTACCAATATACACATTTTATTGCCACGATTCCTGACATTTCCGACATTGATGCGATGTTGAAAATTCCAGAAGTAAGGATACGAAAGCAACTTCTTAAAAAGAAACTTTTTTAAATCCTCAACAAAACAAAGGAGAAGCTAAATTCGATGCTGATTAAACCTCATCTTATCTTCCAGGAGAAATTCATTTTGATGATGTTTTTTAGGGGTATACCTATATGGTGATCCAAAATATTATGCTTTTCAAGAAGTTTTTCAGATTTTTCAAATCACTTTTATCTCACTGTGAAAACAGCAGAATATTTCAAAAAGCCATCGTTAAATTGAAGTTATATAAACATACTATCTACCTTTAACAAAATTAATCTAACAAGTGATATACCTGTACAATTTTGAATAGCAGTGGTTGGAGTTTTGAGTTTCGAAAAATCTGTAAATTCTTGTTTTGTTTGGAAATATCTCATTTTACTTTTGTTATAAGTAGAATATGGCTTTGTGGTTGTTATTTTTGGATTTGTCAGAGTCTAAGCTTTCCGACAGTATACTGTATAGTTGGTAAGGGGTAGCTTCTATCGTTGACAAGATATTTTAATTAATGTAGGGTGCGTGAAAACACGATATTTTAACCCACTGCATGCCCCACTTACGATTAAAAAAACAATTCAAATGGGGATATATAAGCACATTCTCATAACGGATGATAGAAAAGACTATTAATAATTAACATAATAATTTACCATCTATAAACATCTATAAACGAGCTTAGTCGCTTTAAATTGGGGGCACGTTTAATGATGAGAGGAAAAGGGGACACTATATCAAAAGGGATAAGACACTTATTAGCAGGGGCGGAGATTTCTTTTCATGATTGGGGGGGGGGGGGGGGGGGGGCGAAATGCGAGGGACGAGGGAGCATAGTGAACGAGAAGTGCCAGGGGCGTAATGAGAAAAACGTTTTTTTGTTTGTTTTGCCGGGGGGGGGGGGGCAGAAAAAAAATATCCGCATCACTACTACTCTTACATGTTACAGTTTTTTCAAAGTAGGGGGAGGGTGGGGGCAGTGGCGGATCCAGGGGGAGGGGGGCCGCCCCCCCCCTCCTTTAAAAAATGTGTAAAAACACGTTAATTTTACCTTTTTTGGGGTGATGGCCCCCCTAGGCGCTCAAGGGGGGCAGGTGCAAATTTTCGAGGGCAAAAAAAAATGTGCTCACTACCCCCCCCCCCCCCCCCCCCCCCCTACTGAGCGAATTTTTGGCCGACGCGATTTTCAAATTTTATGGAGCAAAAAAAAAAAAAAAAAAATAGTGCTCACTACCCCAAGCCCCCCCCCCCCCCCCCCATCAGTACGTCAGAAAGAGGGGCGAATGTGACGGAAGTGAATACCCCCTTAGAGCTATATAATAAGTCTCATTATATAGCCCTATCCTACCCCCTCACAGGTTTTTGTTGTATTTAAAAATTACATTCTTTAGCAAAACTATAGTACAAAAACAAGCAATATACTTTATTCACACTTCACTTTTACTTTCCGGTATTTAGTGTGCAGTCCAAAGGGTTGTAAGTATTTAATAGATAAATTTCAGCAAGTAGGCAGGAATTAGGGACTTCTTAAAAGAACAAGCAGAATATTCATATTGGTAGTAGGCCTACTGATCTATTTCTATATCTCTTAATCTTGTAAACATTCAGTGTAAACTGTACTTACGTGAAACCAACAGAATACAGATTTTCTACAATATTTACATGTACATTTTGGAGGATATTATGCGAGGGAGCGTAGCGACTGAGCAAGAAGATGTTTGCATTTTTATTATTCTTAACGCTGCACTCTTGGGCTTTCCAGAGCCTAAAAGTGTGTTGCAGTGTTTTTCAAAATTTGAGGATTATGAGAATCTTGAAATAATTTTGAAGAAAAAAAAAATCGAGGGGGGACGTGCCCCCCCCCCCGGGATCGCCGCCCCTGCCTATTAGAAAAGGAAAGGAGCACGTCCAATTAATTAATACAAAGGGTATTATCAGAGGTGAAAATGTATCAGAAAATGTATTTATCACTTCTTCAACTTGTGATGGAATGGGAAAATCTCTCCTGAGAAATTTCGCTGCTCCCATATATCAGCTTAATTGATTCTCATAACTGTCTGAGAAGCGCAGTACGTTATTCATCATTGTGACAGCGAAAAGAAATGTTGCCTAGGTTTCATGAAAGCAGTTCGTGTACGTGTACGAGGTGAGAAGCGAGACTTTGCATTAAATTTCTCCTTTTTTATCCAACATCATATTTACAAATTAAAGTCATCATACACTTTGACTTGAGCATATTTCATGAAGTTATAGCAATGTTCAAGAAAATTAGTAGGCCTATGACTAGACTAAGTAGACTAGACTATGTTGTTTAGTTACACACTACAGATTCGTCCCCTCTATTAAAATCGACGTCATCTTCCATCCCGCAGCCGCTGGACGCCCGCTACTGCCTTGCGACCCGAGGCCTAGAGCAGGGCCCCAGACCGGATATCTGGCGGCTGCAGCTGCATGCATGCAATTTGAGTTGTCGACTCGGCTCCTGCTATATCCTTTCAGGCGACCGCTTTTTTAGCTTTTAGATCTAATTGTATTGTAGAATCTTGGTAGATCTAGACTAGATTAGATCTAGACCGAATTTTCCGTCTCTTTCGTTCGTTAGCCTCTTATTGGGGTAGGGTCGGCTCTCTCTTTAGAGACGGAAGCCGTTTATACACATGTCCTTGCTAACGCCACGGCCAGTTCTGGTCGTAGCGTTTTGCCCCCCAAATCCCCCAAAATGTCATTTTACCTCGAGCATGTTATATTGTAAATTAGGCCTAGAGTCTAGGCTATAATAAATCAGTTCCACTTACCAACTTGACTGAAATAATCAGTTTAATAGTCCCTTTTTAGGAAATTATGGGTCAAAATCGGAATCCATGTTGAAAAAGATTTTCAAAATGGATTTCGATTTTGACCCATAATTTCCTAAAAAGGGACTATTAAACTGATTATTTCAGTCAAGTTGGTAAGTGGAACTGATTTATTATAGCCTAGGCCTAATTTACAATATAACATGCTCGAGGTAAAATGACATTTTGGGGGATTTGGGGGGCAAAACGCTACGACCAGAACTGGCCGTGGCGTTAGCAAGGACATGTGTATAAACGGCTTCCGTCTCTAAAGAGAGAGCCGACCCTACCCCAATAAGAGGCTAATGTAGTGGGAATTGCCCCCACCCCCATACAAGCCTCCTACCACAAGAGGGCGCCATTGGCTTTCTCACACGGGGACGACAAGCTCGTACAAGCTTCTGGCACAAGAGGGCGACATTGGCCTTCACGCAGTGAGAGCAGATTGAGAACTGACACAGACTGACTGGTACACGTTGAGATATACTCCGAGTAACTAGACCGGTAAGTGAACGTTCTTTGTCTCATTTGTAGCATTAAGGTATCGTAACTACGTAGCCTATGATCCATAGACCAGGGCTACTTCATTGGCGCTGCGAGCAAATTGCTTTCTTGCATTTGCGGTGATTTTTAAGACTTGTAATTTTTTGCACAGCGAGCACGGCTGCCCTAAAGCATAGGTAAAACATATGCGGTCCGATGCGCTGGGCTAAGCTGCTCGCTGTGAATTTGATATAAATCAGTAGACTAGATTTTAGGTTGAATTTCGAATTTTAGTCTTGGGCAGGGCGGATTACTCTGCTTTGCCTATTTCGTAATTTTTGGTGTATAATTCTTTGTTGTTTCGTGTGGGTGTTTCGAGCCAGGCTGTAATATTAGCCCGGTTTGGGACATTTTTGCTGTAATTTTTTTTTTTTTTTGGTCGGTCGTCTGCTCTCGCAAGCCCCAAGTGTAGTTCCGTCACGGCTGTATGCGTGACTGGACTTTTTCACTGGGGGTTTGAGGGCAGTGCGATTCGAGTGTGCGTGTTTCAATTTTCTGTAGCGAGTGTTTGAACTTTGTTTGTGGTGTGGGGTGTCTGATTAGGTATTGTTTTGTGTTTAGCGGTGATGTTGTGCGTGATTTTGAGCCGGGCTGTAATATTAGCCCGGTTTGAAACATTTTTTGAGTAAGTGTTACTTTGTTTGAGCGCGCAGGTTTTGGAGACTGCCGTTCGCGCCAAAAGCGTTTACCACGCACTGCAGTGTATTTGATTCGGCGGAGGGATATTTTTTAGTCCTTCTCCTCACGATCGACGCCATTTTGGTTTTGGTTGTTGGCTGTTCGCCGACGGGACCTGGATCTCTTAAATCTAGGACCTAGACCTGCTTTTAGTAGTTGATAGCAGGAGGCTGTCTATAGTTATTTAGGTGCGCGAGTGTATGGCTTTTGTGCGTGTTGTGTGTGGACCCACCAACTCGTTGTAGTGCGGGAGTCCTTTCACAAATAAATAAATAAATAAATAAATAAATAAATAAAAATAAAAAAAATCGTGCGGTGTGATTATCCGTGTTGGAGTGATGTGAGTAAACAGCACCTGCTACCTAGTTAAGAATTCAGGGAACTTATTTTTCCGTCGGGTTATTTCCCCGACGTAACTTAGTTGTAATTTTAGTAGACTAGTCTAGGCCTAAGGCTTTTGCGATTATGGGGTCGCTATGACATATAGGGAGGCTAAGATCCCTATTAATAGGTGTTCTTTTGAAGAACTCCTCGCAGACGTGCCGGGGCTAGCTCCTGTGCAGGCCGGGATCATGTTGGGTCTCCGGACTGAACACGGGAATATTACCCCGGGATTATTTTGGGCGTCCCCAGGGCTAGTAGAGTCCAGGGGGCTGCTAGACAGGTTCGACTTTGCTCCTCGGGAGAGTACCCGGGGGGCAGAGGGGGTTCCCAATCAGAGTGTTTTTGTCACTCCGTCGGGGCAGCGTGCCCTGAGCATCAGCACCCCCTGCGGGGCCCAGGCCCAGGTGGGGGGACACCAATACCCCTATGATGTATATCCGTCTCCCTTGGTTAACCGAGGGGATGTATCGGGTAGGCCCCAGAGGGGCAGTCCCATCCCAGGGTATCAGAGGGGTCGGCTAGGCTTAGGGCCCCTCCCCTTTCCCGAAGAACCGATCCGTCGGGGTCCTGCTCCCAGGAGGGATAGGCAAGAGGGGAACACGGGTAGGGCATCCTACCAGCGACTTCCCAGGACTGTTTCATTCGATGGGCGCGGAAACTGGAGAGCTTTTCTGCATAAATTCACGGCGTTTGCGGACCAGCAGCGATGGGATTTTCCCCAGAGGGTGAATCAGCTAAGCTGGTGCCTAGAGGGGAAAGCGGGAGATTATTTGAGCCTGACTCTGGAACAGGAGCCGCTCCTGGATTATTTCACGCTGGTCCAAAGAATGGCGCAGCGCTTCGACCAAGGCGGATTGCCGGAATCTGCTCAACTCGAGTTTGCGTCTGCCAAGCAGGGGCCAGAGGAGTCCCTGCCTGAATGGTCCGATCGGGTGCTCGGGTTAGCTCTCCGAGCATTCACCGGGGTCCAGGGGCCCTATTCACAACAGCAGGCGGTCCTCCGCCTGTGCCAAGGGTGCTTAAATCGGGAGGCGGGATGTCACGCGCTGACTCAGCATCCCGCTACCGTTGAGGAAGCGGTAAGGCATATTCAGTGGCACCAACATGTGTACCGGGCCATGTACCAGCGGGGGTGTCCTGTTAATTCGGTTGCCTTTGAGGATGCGGGGGAAATTGAAGTCCGCCAAGTGGATTTATCCCCCCAACCTCCTAGTCGACCTGAAGACGGACAACTCGCTGCAGTAGAACGTCGAATGGTGGAGCGCCAGGGCCGCCTAGAGGCCCGGGTAGCTAACATGGAGGCCCGGGTAGCTAACATGGAGCCCAGGGTAGCTAACATAGAGCGGGATGTCCGGAGGATCCTAGATACCCTACAGTCAAGGCCGGCGGCTTCCCGGGAAAGAGCCAAGTCCCCGGGGGGTGACCGGTGTTATGCTTGCGGGGGGCACGGGCACTTCCGGAACCAATGTCCCACAGCTCGTGGCGACAGAGGGAATGTGCGTGTTTCCTTTGTCAACTGCCCCGAAGTGGAAAGCCCCAGCGGGTCGGAGGAGGAGACCAGCCCCCGACCCGAACGAGGCCAGCTAGTGACCGGGACGCCGGGAGGACGGGCAGTTATTCCCCAGGCAGCTGTTAAGCATGTGGGGGAGCCTGTTTCCGGTGAAACTGGGTTGAATGAAACCTCCACGAAACTTCCGATTCCTCCACAGGTGGTCGGGTCGCTGGACCCGATGCCGGGTCCCACCTCGGATCCGGAGTCGGGATCGGAGGAAAAAACGGAGGTAGTGGTTTGCCGGCTGCATTCCAGTTCCTCTCTTAATATCCCTATAGTGATAGGGGGTTTCCCCCTTAGGGCAATAGTGGATACGGCGGCTGAGGTGACTATCATCTCGGATCGGGTGCTTCAGCATCTGAAAACGCTGCCCAAAAGACTGCGGAAGGCCGTATTACATGCTCCAGGTAGGGATATAAGCATGAGGGGGTCAGTAGTGGGGCCGGTGAGCATTCTGTTGGGGGGACAAGAGTTCCCCAAGCAGTTGTATGTTGCACCCATTTCAGACGACATGTTGCTGGGAAGGGATTTTCTCCATAAACATAGGGCAGTGATTCACATGCATCATCCCAGGTTACTGCTAGGGGAAGTGGAAATTCCCATGCAGCATGGGGATAACCCCAGGCGGATGGGTGTAGCAAGGGTGTATGCCCGCAAGAGGGTAATCCTTCCTCCCAATGCCGTTAAGAGGGTGACTGGGGTTATCGACCAACGGATAGGGGATTTTGTGTTTGGACCACTGCTAAACCCTGTTCCTTATATGGGGCGGGGAAGAGTGCGGAGGTAAGAGAGTTGGTAGCCCGGACACGGGGTAACCGTCTCCAGGCTCTCCTAGAGCAGACTCGGGTTAACGCCCAAGCGCTCTATGGCCCGTTAGGTCGGGTGTGCACGGGAACTTCTGTTCCTGTAGCACTAAGTTTTCAGGGTGCGCTTGAAGGTGGGAACTGTTGAGTTCCTATCTCCTTGTTTTTGCTACATTAACAAAAACATATACCGTAGGTCGGGTGTGCACGGGAACTTCTGTTCCTGTAGCACTAGGGGTCCGTTAAATTTTCAGGGTATACTTGAGGTGGGGATTATTTAGTCCCTATCACCTTGTTTTTGCTACATTAGCAAGAACATATACCGTATGTCAGTAAGTTTTTTGGATTTTTAGTATTTTTTCCCTAAATGCCCGTTGGCATATGTTTTGGTTGTTCCAGGGGGGGACTTTTTTCCAAATGGCCCGCTCCGTGCTATAGCGGAACTGACGCCTCCTTCCTGCGCCGGAGTGACCTAGGTGGGTTTCTGGTTCTCCAGTCACACTCCGAAAAACCTGAGTAATATACCCCTCGGGTAGGTAAGATGGCGTCATAGCCTGGGAGGACAAGCGGATGGCTCCCCGCTATGGGGGCGTGGATTGTTTCGGGTAGGGAACCTCCCCCTGGCAATTGTAGTGTTAAGCATTAAGTATGTTGGTTTTTTAATGAATAAAACAAAAATATTTTCATGTTGTATTACCCCGTGTTTTGCTCGTTTGGGGTCAAGTTTGGCATGTTTAATACATGTTTTTAGATTAGGATGTTGTACGGCCACAAGGGAGGGAAAAGCATAATTATTTTTTTTTCCCCTCTATCCGGTTGTGGGTAAGATATTTCACTGGGTTTACTTCAATTGGTCCTGGGTTTTTTAAAACGGGGGGGAGTGTAGTGGGAATTGCCCCCACCCCCATACAAGCCTCCTACCACAAGAGGGCGCCATTGGCTTTCTCACACGGGGACGACAAGCTCGTACAAGCTTCTGGCACAAGAGGGCGACATTGGCCTTCACGCAGTGAGAGCAGATTGAGAACTGACACAGACTGACTGGTACACGTTGAGATATACTCCGAGTAACTAGACCGGTAAGTGAACGTTCTTTGTCTCATTTGTAGCATTAAGGTATCGTAACTACGTAGCCTATGATCCATAGACCAGGGCTACTTCACTAACGAACGAAAGAGACGGAAAATTCGGTCTAGATTAGATCTAGATCTAGTAGATCTAGACTAGAATCTAGTCAGATTTATATTTATCACTTCTTCTGAGTAGACCTCTACTAGAATCTAAGTTAGATCTAGATCTAAGTTAGAACTAAGTTAGATCTAGAAGTCTAGATCTAGTCTAGATCTATTTAAAGTCTAGATCTAACTGTTAGATCTAGAATCTAGGAGGAAATGAATCCAGATCCAAGAATGGCATGCAAATTGCAATATAAAAGTTTTCTACTACTACTAGACCTAGATAGATTCTAGTGTTAAAAAACAGTAGGGGCGCTAGTCCCAGAATGAGGATTGTCCGCATGATTATTAAATGAGGATATAACATAAACAAGGTCTAGACTTTATCCTCGTATGAAACGTAGACAAAGTGCGTCTAAAGTAGAAAGATAACGCAGACGTTTTTTTTCTCTCGGCACTCTGCATGCAGCTAGGTTTCGGGTTCCCGATCCGCGCGCTGGCAATGCGAAAAAAACGGATTCCGCGTAATAAAATTAAAATACCTCCAGTTTACCGTCTACTTGTATGGGCTGTTCGTCTTCTAAGGATTTATCGCTCATAATGTGAAAGTCTCTGTACAAAGTCGAGGTGAAATACATCAAGAAAATCATTGCGGAATCCTTTTTTCGCGTCGCCAACGCGCGGATCGGAAATCATAATCAATTAAAACGGGGCGATCCCTATTTTTTGCTGATGCGTCTGTCTGCTTTTACGAAGACTATCCTTATTCTCGGACCAGTGCCCCTACTGATATTGATAAAGCAATTGTCAATAGTCTACTCTAGACCTAGACAGAAATAACCATCTGGTAGAGTAAAGGAGGGGGTTTTCGGCCACTTAAGACAAAATCCTATTTTTTTTTACCCTTTGCTTCCTATTTATTATCATTTCTTGTTCAAATCATGAAGCAAATATTATTATTATTTAAATAAAAAAAGAATCCCAGAAAAAAATCACGAATTGCCATGACAATATTCATTTCAATTTTCACTGTTTCGAAGTCAGTTATCGGCATAGCGAACCAGTTTTTGGCCGCATGTACAAAGTCAATAGGAAGCGCGCGCACGCGCTGTGCGTCTCCGCGCTGATCCATAGTACTAGCGGGCGGAGCAGGTATCCCACGCCGGAGCTCCCCGGAGCTCACCAGGCCGAAAACTAGTACTGTGGTGATCGGATATTGGAATCTGAATTAGACAGAGATATCATGTGTGCGTTGCGGTGTCCAGCTGCATTGATCTAATACATGGGGTAAGACACTTTTGAGCTTGCGACTAGCACTAAATCAGGCTCTTAATCTGAAAAATACTTGAAATAAAGCTCATTTTATGGTACCCATATTTCTTACAGACACGCGTAAGATACTTGATTTTTCAAATTTGGGTAGCGGGACCAATTACATCGCTGAAATGTGATATTTTAGGATATATTTTTCATTGCAAATGTGGTTCTTCAGTGACTCTGGCATGGTATGGTATGTGTGGAATATGTGATATGCTATTATGTGATGTATTTTAAAGGGATTTTACCATGCATGTAACCAATCGGCCGAAAACTGAAGCTGGTCGATTACCCCCTCCTTTACTCTATGGCACTATGGGTCATTCTTTAATAAAAAAGTCAGACAGACGGTAATTGTAAGTTATTTAGTTTTTAACATGTCAATTTTATTTCTTCAGCTATTGCCGATTACGGATGAGTTTTACAAGGCCATGGGCAGTTGATGTTCAATTACCTTGATGAGCTACTGTGAGTTGACGAGATGGCAGCAGATTTACCTGGTCGACAGAGCCTAAGTGTTGCAAGCATCGCAGAATTCAGCGAACCCATCAGTGAAACAGATGAAATTGAAAGCGTAAGTCACTTAGCATTTCTACGTAGAAATAATTGTCTGGTAAATGATGTTTGTCAACACTCCCCCTCATAATCTGTGTAGAGGCATTCAGAGTCTAAGTGGAACAACCCTTGATGTATTAAAGCCACACTGTACTACTTCTAGCTACTTGCTCCCTCTATATAAAAAAGAATGCCTAATCGGTGACCATTGGTTCCCCATGATCCTCTTTTTCTTATGTTAATTGAGAGCTGAGTTGATGAGATAACTGCCTGTCCAGTGACCTTGCAGGGTGGTCTAATCCCTTCTATAAACTAGTACAGATAAGCTGAAGACTGAAGCTTTTGGTCTAAAGCACATACCTGAGCGTCATTACTTTTCCACGTTAATGGAGTGGTGAAGGATTTAGCTCTGAAAAGTATCAATAGTTTGTGAGCTAAAAGAGAGAATATAAAGATTGCCTCCATGAAAATCTCATTTATACATGTAGACTATGTCAAAAATCTGAGAAGAGCAGGAGTGAACAAATGTTTTTATCTCCATGCACTCCAGTCAAAAATGTTTACATATAGTGCCTTTCCCTTGCATTAATAAAGCATTGCACACTGTGCTTTACATGTTTGAGCATTTGAGATACTAAACCTCTTCAAAAGACTATGTATACATTCCTTTACCAGTATTTATAACATTGCTACAAATACTGCACAATCAAATAGGAATTCAATAGATGCTTGACCTGGTCCACATATTCAACAGTATTTATGGTGGTGGGTATAGGTAGCTCCACAAGCAAGGAATAAAATATTCTCAACACATTTTTGGAGAGGTACTCGGCCAAGAAGATGATGATGATGTTGGCTTACATGTAAATAAGATTGCCATGGTACTTAAGAGTTATGACTGACATACCGGTAATTGCATAATTTTACATACTGTAGTTTCAGTTCACTTGTGCATTTATTGAAGAACACTTAAAAAGTAAAGTTAAATGGATATACATCTCAATATACTATTTTGTAACGCTATCATTTTTTTCTCTGCAGGTTCGCAAACTTCAGAAGCTTGGAGATAGAGCCTTCAAGAAGAAAAACTATGGCGATGCATCTGCCTGCTATAAAGAAGCTCTAGAGATAGATGAGGAGAATGTCCAGCTCCTGTCCAAGAGGACAGTCTCTAACATTGAACTCAAAGACTATCATGAAGCAAGGATTGATGCAGCTGTCCTAGTGAGACTCAACCCACATGTTCCACAGGTATTTGGTTTAGTAGTTAATTGGCCAAGTGCAATATAGATGCTACTGCTGTTCAATAGCAGTGTGAATTAAAGGTCACTGACAGGTGGCTATCTCATCAACTCTGCTTTCAATTAACATAAGAAAAAGAGGATCATGGGGACCAATGGTCACCGATTAGGCATTGTTTTCTATATAGAGGGAGCAAGTAGCTACAAGTAGTACAGTGGGGCTTTAAGTACCAAAATAGAATCCTGTATTTGTACTGTTGTTGAGCAGTCAAATTTACGACATAATGATGTTTGCATTTCCCCCGTCATTTGGAAGCAATGCTTTGCCTCAATCATTTGAATAGATCCTGCATGGCTCCTTTTAATCACACAATTAATGTTTAATGCTGGAAGCAGGAAATCTTGCCATATTTACTTAATGTTTATTATAAAACATTAGTGATTGTAATCATAATTTTACAACGGTATTTGTGACTCACTTTATAAAATTCCCGATGGACAATATCCCCTTTTATTGCTATGTACTATGGACTACACTATCTGTTTATTCCCAAAATGAATCAATCAGTTACTGAGAAGTTGTTGCATTCTTTTCTGGTAGTGCTTAGCTATTAACAACTGTGAATACAAATTATATTCAACAGGGCCATTATCTGCTAGCAGTGTGTCTTGACAACCTAGGGGAGTATGGACCTGCCATAACTGCCTTCCTTAGAGCATTACGCCATGATCAGAACCATCAAACCCAACTGGTTGACAATGTTGCAGTTGTTGCTGCAAACCTCTGTCATTTTCCTGATGATGTCCTTCAGAAGTTAGATGGTAATTGTCATTATTTTTAAATATGAACAAATTTCTCTCTGAACTTACACATGAGTGATGGTGTAAAAGAAAAGTAAGATTGATACATTATAATTTCTGTCTTTTTACATTTTGATCTGATGTTTGAAAAGTAAATTGTTTCAGAATCTATGTACTGCCTTTAAAAAAGGTCTAGAAAACTAAAGGCTAGTCACTTGTTGATTAAATTGTATTTTAAGTGTGGTGTTAAGAATTGTCATCAATCTATGTTATTGTATTGTGTGTGCCATCAACAATTTCAGATATTGGAGTTCAATTTTTGTTTTCTTAATGAACAAAATGGCTTTGTTCAAATTATTTTATCTCTCTTCTCACTGTTCTTACAGATTCCAATCCTATTGAGAAGCTGATGATCGTAGCTGAGTGCATGTATGAGTCCAAGCAATATGATGTCTGCATCCATGTCCAGCAGACCATCCAAGATCTCAAACAAATGGACGAAGAGACCAAACTCAAGTCCCAATACCTTCTTGCCATGTGTTATCAAAAGCTTGAGGAACTAGACAGAGCCATGGACCAGTTCCACACCCTGCTGTCCCAGGCTCTGAGTCACAAGAATGACATTTATGAGGCATCTGCCTATCACAACCTGGCTCAGTTAAACCTGAAGATTGGTCAGATCCACCATGGTATCGTCTTCTATGAGAAGCTTCTATCCATGTGTGAAGACCTGAGGCAGAGAAGTGACGGAGCTGATGGCAAGACTGGCAAGGGTGAGATGGATTATCTCATTGGAGACCGACTGCAAACACATGTGCATGAAATACTGACGAGTGCTTATCAAGCAGCATCCGATCTTTCGCAAGCTTTGTTCCACGCTGACCAATACCTTTCTAAAACAGTCCAGGAAGATGTCAGCAAGGACAAGGAGGTTGTTGGAAAGGCGTATCTATTGGTGGGGTTCCTGAGGGAAGGTTTGGAAGACTATGCAACTGCTCTCAAGCACTACCAGGAATACCTTGCTGTGAGTAAGACCAAGAATGACAAGTCTGGGATAGCTCGGGCGTATGGTTGTCTAGGCAGGGTGTACCACCGGCTTTGTAATTACACACTAGCTCAATCTTTCTATGAACAACAGCATGCCATTGCAGAGAAATTTAAGTACATGCAAATGGTTGCTTCTGCAATGAAAAACCTTGCCAAGCTATTTATTGAAAAGGAGAATTATGAGGAGGCATTCAAATGCTTGGAGAAGTATCTCCGAGTGAGTAGGAAGCTAGATGAGTTCTACACTGAATGTGAAGCTCTCATGGACATAGGAGACTTCTATCAAGGTCAAGAAAGGGTGATGCAATCGGAGTACTACTATGAACAGGCGTTTAACCTTGCAGAAAGGACTAAGCTATCAGGACACCTACAAAAAGCAGCCTCTAAGCTAGCGGAAGTTCTTGTTCAGTCAGACGAGGAGAAGAACATTGAGAAGGCCAGGTTCTTGTGTGAGGAAAGTATCAAGTATTGCCAGAGAGTACAGATGGTCCATGAGGAAGATGGGACAGTAGTCCCTGAAGAGATTCAGCAGTGCCTTCTGCGTAGCTCCTCCATCTTGAAGATAAGCCTTTGCCGGCTTCAGAGGAACTTTGAAGCTCTAGAGCATGCTGAAGAACAAAACAGTCTTAGCTTCCATGAAATACTCGCCAAACAGACCAGAGATGGCATTCTTGATCGGAACAATACTCTGACATTCCAAGATATCTGTAAGCTAGTCAATTCTCAGTCAAGTACTGTTGTATACTATGATGTAACTGATCTTGGAGTTCTCACATGGGTGCTTAAACCTAACGAGGGTTGTGTCCACTTTGTGAGAGAAATTCCAGAAGGGAGGTTGAGAACCTCAGAGTATCTCAAAGACCTGGTGTCCTCTATTCACTCCAGTGAAGGCGTGCTTCAGAGTATGTATGACTGTGAATACAGAGCACTCCCCTTGCTGGACTCAGAGACATACAAAATGCAACTCTACTTCAAGTCCATGTCAAGGAATTATTCACCTGTGAGCTTCACATCTAGAGCTTACAGTGCACCAGGCACCCCAGTTGCAAAGACCACGTCTTACCCTCTAAGGACACTGTACCACTTCCTTTGGGAGCCAATCGCTGAACATGTCACTGAAGGTGAGGTCATCATAGTTCCTAATGGTGTGTTGACGCAGCTCTCGTTTGCCTCACTGACTGATGTTGAAGGTCACCAGCTAGGGGAGACCCTGAATGTGACCTCTATCCCGTCTCTCATGGTCCTGCAGCATCTGATCAGCAACCAACCTAACATCAATGATCTCTACCTGGCAGACTCTGCTGCTGATCACCAGGCATCTCAGATCTCAGGTGAGCCAACTACAAGCAATGTGTATGATACAGACTCATGTTTTTATCGTGATGATGATGTAATGATGATAGCAGATTTACTGACATTGCTGACTGTATAATATGTAATTCTGAAATCAATATGTAATACTGATCAAAGCGTTGAGAACAAGAGCTCTAGTCTTAGTAAAACTCACCATCCTTGTGCTCTTATTCCTATGAAAGAATTACTCAGTGCAACACTGAAACTTTTACCTACAATCCAGTATCTCCACCTTCAAAAGTATCTCTGATACTACAGTCAAATCTTTCCTCTTGTCTCTTATGAAACAATCAAATTATCATATATGATATTCGGATGTAATTAATATCCTTTGGAAAATTTGCATATGATTCTCCTCTTTTAGTGAGAGTAGAGAAATAATAACTGATGAATCAAATTTCAGGTAAATCCAATTATTTAATTCCTTTATTTGTAAAGCTAATTATTTATTTTGCCACCTTCTAGGTGTTCCACAAACCAAGCCTAACCCTGCCTCCCCAATCTACCTGGATCACATGAACCGTGTGGTGGTTTCTCAGTCCAGTCTCCCTCACCAGCCCATCAGGAAAACAGTCAAAGTGGCCCCAGAGATGGCTGCCACCAGGGCACCCAACCCCAGCCATGTGGCCTTTGACAGCACCTTCCATGACACTGCTCCGGATGGTAGGGACCCTGTCCTGGCGCTGGAGGAGCGCAGGGTGAGGGAGGGTTGCATCAGAGGGAGTACACTCATCAGCAAGACATGGAGCGGGGGAGAGGTACCGTCTGTCAGGGATGGTGTCATGGGGATGTACCGCCAGAGAGAGGGGATAGCTGGTATCGTTGTCATGGGCAACCCAACATTACCGGAGAAGATGAGACTTCATGGAAAGGTAAGTCTTGAGTAAAGGTGAGCATTGGTATGAGAATTTATGTGGACGCATCAGTTTTATAGCAGTTTCTCAGTTTATTAAAGATCTATATTTTATTGCTTAGGGGAAATCATTTGAAAGTACTGATTGATATATAGGAATGTATTATGTAAGTATTTGTCGTTTAAACGTTGTTTAAACCTAAATATTTTGTATTTCAGACTAAATTTTTCCTAAATTTTTCCAAATTTTTTCCAAGAAGACGACTTGCGTCAACTTTAAATTGACATATTTGTTTCACTGGAATGATTTCTCTGGTAAACCAATTTGAATATACGATTTGCTTTTGTAGCTGATACGACACTGACTACTTAAAAAATGATGGATTATGTTAAATTAGATATTAGAATAAAGGGCAAATTCTTATGAATCTGAAACTATGCACCCTGCCATGACAACTGAAGATAACGCTCTGTATCTTCATGAAAGTGTGACACTGCTAAATCACTGTAAAAATCACATTCAGTTCAGTACATGCAAAATCAGTCAAGTTCGTGAATAAGATGCTGTAAGCCTTAATAACATATATGTACTGCGGTCTGACTGCACAAGAAAAATTGATTGCAAATTACATAGTTAGTTACTGCATAGCACTAGAATCTTCCATGTAACTGAACAAAGAGTAAGGGATAGTTGTGATATTTGCTTGGGTTCTTGCAGATCTGGAAGCCCGACTCAGATCTGGACATCGCACAGATGGAAACCCACAAGATTGCAGACTACCTTCACACCGAACCCTTCCTAGGGTCAAAGGTCACCAAGGAAGCCATCTTGTCCAAGTTACCCACAGCGACCCTCATCCACCTTGCTCTCTATGGTTCCTGGGAGGATGGGGTGCTTGCATGCTCCCCCAATCCCACTACCCAGCCCATAGAGGATGGAGTGTATCCTGAAGGGGCATACCAGATTGTGGTTCAAGATGTGCTCGGCATGAATCTCTGCAGTCAACTAGTGGTACTCAGCTGTTGCTATGGTAACAGGCATCGGACTGTTAATCTTGATCTACCCCTTGCATTCATAGCTGCAGGTTTGTACTGAAAAATCAATTTTTTGAAAGTTTTTCAATGGTATGAAGGATGCATGTACCTAATTGGTACGTACAGTATATATATAATCTTGAATTCTTGATGTAAAACAAAATAAAATGTTATTGAACTTCGTAGTTGATATTTCCAAGCAAATTTTAATGATATTTGTTATGCTCTCTACCTCTTCATTCTCAAAAGGAATTGTTTTAATAAAATTTTACTTTATGAATACATTTTAATTTAATGCCTCCGCAACGAAGTAGCCAGAGGCATTATGTTTTCAGTGTTGTCCGTACGTCCCGTTGTCGTGATCGCTTTAATTCTATTGTTTTTCTGTGTCATCGAATACAATTAGTGGTTACCAAAGGAATTTGTGAGTCTGATCTTGAAATGTACCTATAGTTTAAAGATGTTCTATTATTGATTTTGTTTGAAGGTGCTCAGTGTGTTCTGGTGATGTTGTGGGCAGTCAATGATCTAGTCCGGAATAAGTTTTGGCATCACTTCTACCTTGCTCTTCAAGAAGGCACTATGGTCTCTCAAGCTGTCCAAGCAGCTAAGCAGGCAATCAAGCAAGATAATAGGTGAGTTATTTTGTCTATATCAATTTTATTCTGTCTCATCCGATTCCTGTTCCCACTTCTCCATCATCTTCGTACATCTTCTCCCCCTCCTCCCTCCCCTTTTTTTGCGACCCTACAATTCATGAAATGCACACAAATAAAAGCATTTTAATATATAATATTACATTTATTCAAAAACTGTATGACTACTGGTATGTGATTCACATATTCAAAAAGTATTTCAATAAGGAAGCTTCTACAACTATTTTTGTTCTGAGTATGAGAAAAGGAATACATTCATATTGCAATGTAAGCTAGTTTATCACAGGGGTGATAGTGAGCACAATTTTTTTTTTTTTAAATCCATCAACCGTCCCCCCCCCCCTTGAGTAAAAAAAAAAGGATTTGGGGAAAGAAAATGGCATCTAACAACATTCCCCCCCCCCCCCCTTTGAGTAAGAAAATTGAGGAAAAAATTGGGAAAATAAGGGAAAAGTCAGGAAAACAGGAGTAAAATCTGAAAAAAATTAGGAAACAGATTTATATTGGGTAATGATCACGCCTGTTATCATCAATTTTTTAATGTATTTTGAATGAATATTGACAATCCTAGCTGACTTTCTTGATTGGCCATGCAGGTTCCAAGATGCACGCCACTGGGCTGCATTCCATGTGATAGGGTTTGATCAGTATATCAATCTAATGACCATCAAGCATGCCATGGTTGATCATCAACTCAACCAGACTCAGAAACATGTACTCAACAACATGAAGGAAGATGCCCTCAATCTCAGGGAGGACGATCCTCAAGGTAAGACATTGGTAACCCTTCCGAATAATTATATAATATTGACTGGCCTTGAGGGGTATATCAGAAATATTGACCAAGCTCAGATCATATTGCCCCGAGTCGAAAGACGAGGGCAATATGGTCTTAGCGCGATCAATATTTCTGATATCCCCCGAAAGTAAAGCCAGTCAATATTTTTATTGTTATCCAAATCAGACATCTAGAGCAAATACAGACATCCACCATGACATTTTCAAGAACTGAACAAACTTTGTCAAACCAGCACTGTGCATCCAGTGCTTGACATAATTTCGATACACTGCAAACAGTGTGCATTTGGTGTGATTATTACGTCACAATAGAGTGCACGCAAAGTGCGCAGGTTCTCGTACGCATAATAGATACGCAATGAAAATGACAAAATACGGCGCAGTGCAGTCAATACAAGATGCCCGGAAGCGAGACCGTGGAAAATACCAAGGTATATTTTCACTCGTCTCTACACGCAAAGTCAATACGCGCAGGGAGACCAAGGAAAATACAAAGAATATACCCCTCCGTTCCCACTGCTAGTTAAAACTAGGGCAATACGGTTTTGTAAATGACCAGCTCAGATGTCTGATACGGGTAATAATCCAGAATATTCAGATTTTCTGGATTTTTAGGACCTGAAAATTTTGAATATTCTAAAAAAAAGATTTTTTTGTTTTTGTTATTGTGCTAAAGCCAAATTCAGCTTGTTTTATCGTGTGCCGCGATTTGAGAGTTCTCTTATTGCGTGCGTTGAATGGCTGCATGATCGAGCAGCGAAGTTTTGGTACAGATTTACCGCTTATTGCCAGTTATACTGTCGCTGCATGCAAGTGTGATTTCTTATTGTTGAAGGCATATACCGTGCTAAAAATTCCTAATTCTTATTTTCAAATGATGGCAGGTATGCATTGGTATAGTCCCATGGTCTTGTTGTTTATTGGCTCAAATATATAATATGAAGATTTGGAGTTAAAATTCTTGATTGTCAGGACCTAAATGTTATATATACACAGGGCTGAACATTATCAGGGATCTGATACAGAATTCCAACAGATTGTTCTACAGTAGGTGCCCCTTAAAGGATTTATTTAAAGTTGTCTCTTTGGACAAAGGTGACAGACATGGTTACTTGGTTGGATTTATTCCTTGGCATACTCTATTCCCTGGCAATGGCTGCTAGGATTGAAGCCTATATAGGTTCATAATTTACAAATTGATGTGGAAGCATAGTTTGTGATATATGGACTTTGTATATGTAAATGTATATAAAACAATGTCATTCATCATCATTTATGTATATATAATTATACAGCTGTCATTGTATTGGGCAGATTTGTAAGAAATTGTTAAGCGCTCATAAAAACACAGCACTAGTCTAATGTGAGAAAGCAAAATATTGTTTATCTTGACTGGCACAAGAGTAATTCAAGCCTTCAAATAATAAATTTCCAACAAAGTACCCAATGACTGAGTGCATGAGTCAAGAGAGACTGGATATAAATGAGAAAACAGATTTAAAATGCTGCTGTTTTAACATTCAGTATTAAAGTACATTTGTAGTAGTAACACATTTCCTCTGCTGGCAGCATCCAATAAAGATCAGGATTAAACAAAGATGCTAGTACAAAACTTGTAATTTTTCCTGTTTTAATTTTTTTCTTCTTCCCCTTTCTTCAGATAAGACTGACTCGGCCTTGATTACAAAGCTGTGTTCACATCTGGCCTCAGCCCTCTCACACCATGTTCACTATCCAACTGTCCTGAACTGCATCCTAAGTCTGGTATGAACTTAACTTGTGATTTTTTCATTTCTAACTGTATTTTTATGTGTGAAGAGAAGGGGTATTCTTGGTATTATGTTGACATAGAATTTAAGCACAACTTTAGGACTCTTAATTGGGTAATTGTTGTTGGGGGGAGGGGGGGGGGGGTGGGATGGGGTGGGGTGTATGTCATAGAGAGGAATCGTTACAGGAGGAGGTGTGAAGGGCAATGGTCTGGTGATCTGGGGCTCTATTCAATTCAATACCTAGATTAAGTCTTTTACTTAGTCTTTTACTTGGCTATATGTAGCAATTTGATACTTGTACTCAGATTATATGTGAGCATTTTACCTCAGCAAGCCAACTTTAGGGCAAAATAATTGTTGATAAGCATTATGATGTCACATTGTTTATCCAAAATAATGCACAACTAAGATGCCACATGAAATGCATGCTACTGTAATAGTGTGCAGCTTATAATGACTGCTTATTTAAACAATATGCCTACCAATCAAGGCCTCCAAAATAATTCCCTTAAGTCTGCTATGAAGCTGTCTTAGATTTAGGGGAAACTTATTCAGCCAATAGCTTCAACTGAACACCAAATTTGGCTAAGCATTTCATTTTAGCCCCAAAATACTAATATTTCTGAGATAAGTATTGAATTGACTACTCTCGCTGATATTTTGTGCTGGCTTGATTGCACCAAATATTTTGGATTATATCGACAAAAAAGGTTTTAGTTCAGTCTAGGGTTAGGTAAAGTTTACATTTAGGGGTTTAAGGTAGAAATTCCTCTAGTGTGAGAAATGTACCTTGTTGTACTTGCAGTGGAGGATCATGGTCATACAATCAGTTTTCTAGATATGAAAAAATTAATTCATCAACCAGGCCCAAAATTTCATTTTTCTATCCTTTCTTATCCTTGATATAGCTACAACAAACCAAGAAGCTTCTCTCTGGTCCTGAGGGTGGGCCTTTCCCTTCCTGGATCCTACCGGTTGAAGTCTTCAGGTCTCCTTCAGCCGTACCTCTCCTCAACCTCCTAGGCTTCCACTTCCAGCCTCGTGGTCCAACCAGCTACGAGCCCTATGTGGTCTTTCCAACCTGGGACCCAGACGCTCTCCTTGACCCTGCGCTCCAGGCATTCAAAGCTCTCATTGGTGAGTGGTGCTATGGTTGATTCTGACATGGGGGTGTTTCATAAAGCTGTTACGAATGACTTACACATGATTTGAACCTATCTATCTAAGTATCTTCTCCCGGTTCGGAGGTTGATTGCAACAGTACTCCATTTTCACTCTCTCTTCTGCCATTCTGGTGCACTAGCTCTTGCAGTTTTAGTCCACTCCAGTTCTTGACATTCTCTTTCCCAGTTGATTCTGGGTCTCCCTCTCGGTCTACTATTATTTGAATATGAAGAGCCAAATGGGATGCCCAAAGTTTTTCCTGACTTTTTAACAAAGTGTTACTGTATTTCCCATAATCTCAATTAAATTGTAGCCAAAAATACACTTTGCATTAAAATGTTTTGTTAATTATGATAAGTTTTATCTACATCTGCATATTTCAACTTTAGCTTACCGGTATGCAATTAAAAGGATTTGAGAATCCCATTTAGCTCTTCATATCCAAGTCATTCGTAAAGTCAAGCGTAACTTTAAGCACAGCTTTATGAAACATCCCTCAGTACATATTTACGAAGAGGGAAAAGTGTAATGTCAGGGGATAGGACTTATGGAGATCGAGGGCTAAATGGAGATTGAGAGTTGTGAAGACAGCTGGATCACCATAGTTTACCAGTTTGGTAATGAGAGAGTGAAAGAAAGGGAGAGAAAGAGGCAGAGACAAAGAGAGAGAGAGAGATTTATTCCTTGGTTGCAAATCTGTGATCAGACACTTGCAGGTAGTGCATTTATTTTCAGAGCATTAGTGTTAGATGAATTATGATGATGCATGTATTCCAAAATGCAAATCTATTTTTCTGGTGGTTTATTTAATGCAAATTTTCTTCAAGGATATGTTCATAGGGGGTAAAACATGATTTATTTTGTGTATGGAAAAATATATATATTAAAGGTAATACAAAGTTTTGGGAAATTCTGAAAATTGGTCGGATAGTGAATCTTTACAATTTTGATATTTTTGGATGCCCCTGTAAATGTATTATAAGCACTAACAAAATTAACCCCTAAAACACTTCTGTTTTCGAGAAAATTTGAATATAAAAATTTACCGGTGCTCCCGGTAAATTTTGATAAAATTTCAAATAGCACCTACGGCCGTACAATGGTAGCTGCGACCATGAAAATCTTAGAATATGTAGTTGTGATATATAATTTCCAAACGGGAATAGCTTATCGGTCGATTTTAGTCAAGAAACATTGTTTCATAGCTAAATTGATATCTTGACCTTGAGAGGGAGCTATACAACATATAGAGTTTATTATTTATAATTTCATAACTTTAGACTTGATTTCAACCGGGACAACGGTCAATGAATATTGTAGAAACGCATATGCTCCCAATATGTTCATTTGAACCAAATTCATGACCCCATACCAAAACTTTGTAATACCTTTAATTCCCATTGAAATAGGTATTTGTCATGTTTTATTCACTAACATTTCTAACAAATTAAACTTTAATCTTTTCATTTCTGGACAGACATCTCAAGCAACACAGAGGTGAGTCATTGTCTGGCTAAGGTACTGGCAGAACATGACAAGCTCACATCAGGTCTCATTGACATTGTAAGTCTAAAACCTCAACATTACACCATATAAGTCTATGTAATGTATTGTAAAAGCATGGTACATTAAAGTATTGTTCATTGTTGTGGATTGGTGTTTCCTATTTTCTTTATTTTCTTAGCAGGGCTCATTTAAAGTGTCCTTCCTTCTTTTTTAAAATAATAATATAATAATAAAAACGTTACTTATAAAGCGCTTACCACCGAAGTCTCTAAGCGCTATACACACAAAATAGACTGATATACAATTACATCTTATACAAAACTAAAAATGCAAATAGACATACAAATTACAATACATATGGAATACACGTCAAAGTGAACAGAGTTAATTAATCATCAAACGCAATTTTGAATAAATGTGTCTTGAGACTAGTTTTGAATAGGTTAACAGTTTGACAGTTTTTTACATTTAAAGGTAATCTGTTCCAAAGTTCAGCAGAAGCTTTGCGAAAGGAGCGATTACCATAAGAAAGAGTTGACACAGAAGTAGATACGAGGTTTAATTGTGAAGATGACCGTAAACTGCGTGAGGGTTTGTATTCCTCGATTAATTCTTGCAGATAAATTGGTGCCAATTCATGAATGCATTTATAAGTTAAAACTAAGATTTTGTACATAATGCGGTACCTCACCGGCAACCAATGCAATTCGCGAAGTACTGGGGTGATGTGTTCACAAGAACGCATGCGTGTTACAAGCCTGGCAGCAGAGTTTTGGATTCTCTGGAGTCTTGCAATGTGTGAGTCCGGAAGGCCATAAAGAAGGCTATTGCATTGATCAAGACGACATGTAATAAATGCATGTATAAGCGTTTCGGTAGATTTTTGATCAAGAAAATTTCTAATACGACCTATCTTGTACAAGGCATATGAAGCTGAGCGACAAATTTTTTTTATATAATCATCCATCCTAAGATCATTTTCAAAGATGACCATTTAAAACTACTCAGCCATGATAATTATTATAAAAAAATATTAAAGAAACGGTTCTTATAAAGTGCTTACCACCAAAGTCTCTAAGCGCTTTATCAAACAAAATACAATGATAAATCAATACATATTAAACAAAACAAAAAGGAAAAGGAAATAAACCTAATAATTACAATGCATATGAAATAGACATCAATATGAACAGAGTAAGTAAATGATGCGTGGAAGTGGATGGATACAGACGTTTAAACTAGGATGAGATGATCTTTTAAAACTATAGTTGTTTTATTCCGTCTACCTCCCTCCCTCAGCTCTCTATCACCAAGCACATGCCTGAGATTCAGCTGCGATGCAATGATGCAGGTATCCATAGCATGTGGGTAGAGAACACGGCTAGAGAGATCCTACAAGCCATGGGCTTCAGACAGGTCGGCAAGCTTATTCTCTTTGAAGGAAGCAAATTAAACAAGTGAGATACACGTTTTACTTTTGGGGGAATTGTTTCTTCTAGATTTGTTGTAGGGTTGAATGTTGCAGATTAAATATGAGAATGAATCTGTAAGAGGGAATGTCCAAAGAATTTTTTACATACTAATACAAATTTCTGAAGTACAATTGTACTCAATTTTGAAATTCCATACTAGCTACAGGTTATAAAGGAATTTATTTTTGGGATGGGGAAGATCAAAATAAAAGACCAGTTTTTAAAGTTTATTTCAATAACCGAACACACTCTACAACCATATATGTCCAAACTTTGTTCATTCCAAATTCTATTAATTATTGTTTGATCGTTTTTTATGCAATAATTTGTCATTGAACAGTCCTTATATTTCTTTGAGATTTTTAGGTGTTGCTGTTTAGAGTTGTCTGTTGACGATGTCTGAACTCATGCCCTCAGCACTAAATGGTATGGGTTAAAGACTGTATTTTAAAGAGGAGAATTGCTCATTTATTATGACAAATGTGATTCTTATTTTCCATTACATTAATTACACAAATGTTGGTCTTCTGAATATCTTTTAGGAAACAACTTGATGCAGTACTCCAAGTCCTGTGTGCAGTGTCCGGTGAGAAGGGGAAGAGCATGTTGGAGAAACTTGACATGCGTTACCTTGGTTCAGCACCCAGCCGCCTGGTCAGCAAGTCCCCTCGTCAATCCCCGTCCAAGTCTGCTCGTCTCATGTCCAGTAGTACGGCCAGATTGACCACTCCTCCCAGGACAATCAATCGACTCCGCACCTTGAACCCCGTCATATTACCAGGAAACAAGGTATAAAAGTCAACCCGATTTATCAAGGCCAGGGGGGTGTTTCACAAAGGTTCTTAGTTGAAATTATCTCTAAGTTAGACTTAACAATTAAGGAAAGCCGTTATAAGCATCTATGAAAATATTTTGTAAAAGTTATTTTAAAAGGTATCAAATGTTGATTCAAATCATTCATATTTTCTATTATCAAGGAGACTTCATGTTCTTGATGTGGGAGTTATAAAGATTTATAAAAAGTATAAACTACTTTAATTTTAAGGCTACACATGGCTTTTCATAATGTTTAAGTCTAACTTAGAGTTAAGTTCGACTTATGGTCTTTGTGAAACACCCCATGATGTGAGATTCATGTTGCCTTTTTCAGCCGAGTCTCCTGAATAGAAAGTTGTGATAGTTTGTGACCCGTAGAATTCATTTGCAAATGTGAATGATGTTATGCTGGTTAGTAGAAAGTGAAGTTGCGTTTTTTTTTTTGGGGGGGGGGGGGTTGCATTTGGTCTAGGAAAATGTATGCCATTGGCACTATTCCTACTAATATTCCCTAATTTTGAATTATCTTTGTCGATATTTTTTTTTTTTAATCCAGAAAAAATTGTGATTAAGATTAAAACATAAGTACAGAAGGAAAGGTTACCTAATCTTTTAATCTACAGTTTGAAAGAATCCCCCTTCACTGATCATTGAAATGTATGTTTTCAAGTTTTCCATAGACAAGTGTAAATGTTGACATTAAATATCTACTATTGAAACCCACATTTGAAAATCTTTTTTTGCTCAATGTTTATATAGTACCTGTAATTATTTACAAAACCAAGTTCAAATAAGGAATTATATTTATATATAACCATGTGTATTTTTCAGATAAATAAACCTAAAGAATAGCTAATTATGGTGGTCCCAGGAATTTTTTTTTCACTGAAAATGCTAACAAATATTGAGTATTGAAGTAATCACAATTGACTTGTATTTTCATGCGCAGATGGATTTCTCAACTCCATGGGGGAGTGAGGAAGCACAGCATCCAGAGGTCACAGAGAAACTCAAGCTTGCCAAGGGGTGAGTTCATGGTAGATTAACTTTAAAGCCCCACTGTCCTACTTGTAGCTACTTGCTCCCTCTATATAGAAAACTTCTCCAATCAGTGCCTGTTGGCCCCCCATGATCCTCTTTTTCTTATGTTAATTGAGAGCTGAGTTGATGAGATAGCCACTTGTCAGTGACCTTGCTGGGTGGTCTAATCCCTTCTGGCTAAACTAGTACAGACAGCCTTTAATAGAAAAATTCACATAATGTTTATAGATCAATCCAAACCTGATGGGTTGTTGTTGCTTAATATGACAGCTGGAGGCTTAAAAGGATTGAATTTTTTTAACCCAATAGGATAAACACTAAGAAAGTTTAGAATATTTTAAAGTAGAGATCATTAGAAAGGGTATACTAAAGCAATATCAAAGTTGTGATTTAGTCATACTACTGTGATTTTGTAATGTCGGACCTCTCTATATTTGTTTTAGTACACAAAATAACTGAAAATATCTCTCTTGTTAATCTCATAATTGGGCTTATAGAGCATAAAGCATATGTTACCCATCAGATACTGAATTTATCATTTCACTACTAATCTTTTGATTTCAGTCTGAGTGCTGTTCATGTTGGGTTCTCTCAGAGGATGCAGAAGAACAGGAGATGGCATCTAGAAGCCATCGCACCTCAAGCCAGGGAGGAGAGAGACAAGGTCGGTCTGCCTCCTCCAAAACCTAGAAAGATCAAGATGAAGCCTGGTGGGTCCCCCGCCACCCCCAGAGTGCCCGTAGACCACATAGAGCCCCTCACTGCAGAGGCCATTGAGCAACGTAGAGACTATGCACATTTTCTGTCTAGAGTCCGGTCACTGGATTTGGAGAAGCGACATCAGAATTCTGTTCAGGGACTTTTCCTGCCATATGTGAACAACACCAAGACTGAAACAAATTGAAGAACTTGGAATAGTTTCTTTAATGGTAATATGTTTGGGGGGGGGAAGGACATTGTGCAGCACAGACACTGCGAACTTGTTGTCAAGGCTCTGAGCCGGTATTCAATTCAATACTTAGCATAAGTAAGAAATTTACTAAGTAAATGGCTAAGTTAAGTAATTTACTTATCTCGTATTCAAATCGCATTTTAGACTTATACTTACGTAAGACAAAATCTAAGTAAAATACTTACTGATAAGCATTGTGACGTTACACGGTCAATAAAAATTGATACATTGCAATAAATGCGCGCTGATATAATTGTGCGAAGGTTATAATACTGCGTAAGAAAACCATATGCCTGCCAATCAAGGCCTCAAATAATTGGCTTAAGTCTGGTATGGAGTTGGCTTAGATTTAGGGTAAAATACTTAGCCAAAAGTGTGAATTGAATACTAAGTAAAAAGCTTAAATTTTGTACTTAAGTATTGAATTGAATATGGGCCCTGGTCTCTAGACTTGAGTAGCATCCTCAGTTCAATTTATTTAGAGCTGTTTCACCATATGTGAACAATACCAGGACTAATGCAGAGTGAAAAAAAGGATACATGTCTTGACAATAGATTATAACTGATTAACAAACTTCTCTTAAACCATCGTTTGTGCATTACTTCAGGTCGTTGCTGGGGTAGGGATGGCTACTTTGTTAGCCCCAGCAATAGATACAGGGTACACTCTTTAATTTACCATGCATGAAGTCTTTTGTCTACGGCTGATTGTCAATGAAACGGAGTTAAGTCTTTGTTACTTCCGTTTGTTGCTACAGCAGCAGCCAGTGAAAACTCTTTCGTTTAATAAACTTATGGAAATGCAAGCACTACTTTAAACAAACAGAACTTTGTTATTCCTAGCTCATTTTTCCTGATTGAGGTGTCATATGAAAGGGATGAAACTCAACTTTCTAGAAATGTGATTTTCTCTTTGAAAATCTGATATATCGTCCGCCAAATGACTGTTTGGTTTCCTCTCTTCAAATTGATTTTAATCACTCATGCGTGAAATATGCATCATACGAGTTGCACCAAATGAAAGAGGAGGATCTAAGCTTTACAAATCATAATTGTGATCAAGTTATGATAAAACATAAATAATTCTCGGTTTCGTTTTTTCTGGGACGCACTGAAGTGTGAGTGTGAAGTGCGGCCCATTTTGACTGGGAGTTCATGTGACTGCAAAATCCTGGCAGTTTCACTGGTAAAAATAGAGCGCCACTTACGGTGGGTTATTGTCAGCTATATCCAGTAGGGAGAGTTGTAGTGCAGTGTGCAAGCTGGAATAGTGAATTTAACAAGAAGCTTGTTGAATGTGAAAACATGCGACACAATATTTTTTGTGCATATCAAAGATATTCAGTTACTGAAACATGAATGTTTTACTTAATTTCTGCTCTCTTATTTGCTAATCTATCTTTAGCAAATTCTTTTGAAGATCAGTACAAAAGAAGTTGATCCCATGCTTGATTGCATTCACATTATTGCACCATACAATGAGTGCCATGCTTTGTTTATGAAATACATGTATTTATTATTGCTCAGTCCTAATGGTTTCTGGTGCAAAAAAGCCAAGAATGTTCTTTTGAAGAATGCAGGAATAAAATTGATTGACAGAATAGTTGTGTTTGTAATTTTGCATATCTGCACAAAATATGCGGTGCAGTGGCTCAGTGTTAGAGCAGTGACCTCGTAACCCGAAGGTCCTTGGTTCAAAACCAAGTCAATGCGCAAGTACCCTTTGGTAAGGCAAGAATACTCATTACCACACACATCAGAGAGGACTTAACACTGTTGGTCCTCTGGTTGCTGACTTCCAACCATATTGGACCTGCTAACCTCTGGAGTTCAAAAACTGTATTCTTTAATCCCAAAAGTTGTATTTTACTGACAAATATTCTATTAAAAAAACACACAAATGGTGGTGGTTATTTTACCCGACTGCTAAGAAAGCATAAATGCTTGTAAGTAAGCAACCAGACGGCTGACAGCTTTAGGTCCTCTCTGAGGGACCTGGTAATAAGGATTAATGCCTTACCAAAGGGCACTAGCGCATCGCCTTGGTTTCAAACCCGAACGAACCGTATTACGAGACCACTGCTCTACCGACTGAGCTATCGCGCCTCTTACAGTTCCTACGTACAGGAAGAATTTTTGTAATGGATCATAGGTTGAATATGCATGATTTCGTCATGACTGGTGTGTTCGATGAACCAATGAACATCCCCAAATTGCCGATGTGAGACGTTTGTAGGATACTTTAGAGGTCAAAATGGGCATTTTGCTATTGAAAGTGGCACACACACACACAAAATACCCCCCCCCCCCAAAAAAAAAAAAAAAATTGTACTGCCGTATTTACTTCTAAAAATCGTGCAAAATACGATTAAATCGTACTGGTTGGCTGGTCTGCCATATGCATGCTTTCTTAGCAGACAAATGGCTAATCTTTTGCGTGTCTTGGTGTAGTCTGAAAATTGCTAAACCATAACATCTTCAAATGTAAGGTACTGTGTAGACTTTGAAGGTCATGAGATAAAGAATATGTTTCTAATGAAATGAATGAATGATACATTCATGGATCAAAATTTTGTCTTAATTTTATGGAGACTAAGGTTTATAGGGTGTGTATCTTGATCTTGATTCCAACCAACTATCCGAACCAACCAAAGAAATGTACCCGTATTGAAATTCATTTGTTGACCAATGTGTTTGTTTAAAATTTCTTTATCGGATTTTATTAATCTATGTTTGTGAAAGTTGTTTTGAGATTATCTCCACTGAATATGAAGCAAGGTATTTCAAGTATTTTATCAATATACATGTATTCCAACATTCCGTCCATTTTTTTAACCCTTATAATTCCCTATATACCAAATACATTTTATGCACTTCTCATGTGTCCATTTACTGTTGTATTTGTAAATTGTAATATATAAATATATATTATATACACTTATTTGTGTATATTATTTGTTTTGACAGTGTATTCCATACACATTTGTATATTTTGTGTATCTTATATTATACATATAATTTATTTTATGGACAAATAATAAAATATAAAGATAAATGACAGGTATGTTCTAATGGAAAGTATTCTGTGATTTGTTGATAGCTGGTAGCTGGATTGTTTGTGTTCTTCTGATGAAAGATAGAGAGACAAATTTAATATTAAAGGTAATACAAAGTTTTTGGAATTTTTGAAAATTGGGTGGATAGTGATTCTTTACAATTTTGGTATATTTGGATGCCCCTGTGGATGTATTATAAGCACTAGAAAATTTAGCTCCTAAAACACTTCTGCTTTCGAGAAAAATTGAATATAAAAATTTACCGGTGCTCCCGGTAAATATTTATAAATTTCAAATAGCGCCTACGGCCATACAATGGTAGCTGTGACCATGAAAATCTCAGTGTAGTTGCGATATATCGGTCGATTTTTAGTCAAGATACATTGTTTTAAAGCTTAACTACTATCTTGACCTTGAGAGGGAACTATTCAACATAGAGTTTTTTATTCACAATTTCATAAATTTAGACTTGATATCAACTGCAACAACGATCGCTGAATATTGTAGGGTCGCATATGCTTCCAATATGTTAATTTTAACCAAATTCATGACCCCACACCAAAACTTTGCATTACCTTTAATCAACTCATGTTCTCTCTCACGTTTCCTCTCCTTTCCACAAAAAAACTAATGCAAGTTGCTCTCAATTTTCTGATTTCTCTCTCCTATTCCTTTTATTTGCAATAACTGAACATATTTGCTATTAGGAATTAAGAACATCCTCCACATGACAACTAGCTAGAAATGATTGCAAATACTGTAGTCAAGTCAAAGTGAACTTATTACTCTATTACATAGTAGCATTAATGTACAGATTCAAACCACTATCAGAGAGATGGTTACCTTTTTAAATTCAAGACTTCTTAAATTAGTGAAAATGAAGCGTGTAGTTTTGACTAAACATGACCTTCACGACTGGCACATTCAGAAAAAACTGTTGTTTTCTCCTAGGTTATGGGGATACTCCCAATAGAAGTGAATTAACTTCAATTTCTGATAGATCATGTGCTTTTATTACAAGGTATTCTGGGCATACAGTGAACAGCAAAGCAATCTTTTGTAAGTAAAATTAATATTCACAAAATGAAATGTCAACATTTTTCCTCATTATTGTTTTCAGTGAGTAGAAAAAAAGTTGTAAATTGAATTGTATAAAAAAAAAATGTTAGGTACACATGAAAAATAAAGTTACATGCATGTCCTCAATTGAAAAATTTGAGAAATGGGGGTTGTCGATGGGAGCAGTCAGAACGAGTATGAGCGACCACAATATAGCCTGAAAAATTTTTCTGCTGCTTAGGGTCCAGATGTCCTTGTTTGGATATATTCGGTTTTAGGTTCTTTCCTGAATGTTCCAATACTCGGATATTAGTACCTTGGCTAGAATTTCACATTGCAACCACAAGAAAGATAATACAAATAAGATTGTGTTTTCTTGAATGACGTATAACTCATACAGGGGTTTCCTCAAGTTCCTTCCTCTTCTGTTTACCAAGTAACACAGATTCTTTGAATAATCTCATGAAGAGTTCTACAGCTACTGGTGTGTCATCGTTTCCTGGAATAGGATAAGTGATGAGGTTCGGGTTACAATTTGAGTCCACCACCGCTATTGTGGGGATGTTCATTTTAGCTGCATCTATGACCGCTTGGTGTTGACTGAAAACATCATTGAGGGTGTTGAGGAAAATGATAAGGTCCGGGAGGCGTGTACCTGGTCCCATCTGGATCTGAGCGTTAGTGAAGCATCCTTTCTGCCAGTGTCGAGTGTGGGCGTACTCCCCACATGCTCGGGCCATTTCCTCAACCGCATGAGCAAACTGGGGCACTCGGTTCACAAACAAGATGATGCCATTACGATAGGCAATGTTTGCAGTAAAATTGAGGGCGCTATTTAAGAGTGGCGTTGTCTGGTCAAGATCCATAATGCATTGCTCTCGTCGTGTTCCAATCATGTATTTCTTCATACGCTGGTCCAAGAGACCTTCTTTGTGGCCCAAGTGAACTCGCGATTCAAAGAGTTCTGTCCTGGTGAAAAGTTTGCTGACACCAAAGAAGTCATCATGGTTCAAGGACTCATCAACCGTATCTCTCCTTGTTTCTCCTGGTTGATATGGTAAGACAAGGATACAAGTCGCATGTCAGTCAAAGGTGTCAAACATTCAAATATAAGTACAATGTGGATTCAAACATCGATCATTAAAGATAAAGTTGAGTTCTGGTCATGCGATTGCATATTGAAAGAAACGGTGTGGAATCGATCATAAAAGGTTGATCATCTAGCAAAGAAGTATTGGTGTGTACTGCAAGGTTCTGGAATCATCAAAATGATAAGAAATTTGGCCCAGTCTTGGTAAAGTTACAAGCACTGCATGTACACAGAAATATGTATATGGGACTACACAAACATGTGGCATAAAAATCTGTCCTGATTTGTAGCTGTTACATGCCATATTTAGAATAGTAAGGCATTTGAAGAGCCATGCTTTTTAGGGAAATTTTTTTTTTCTCTGACATCCTTCCACACTTGCATAATAACAATGATAACGCTCACTAATTATTTTTCACCTCCGATCTTCCCAGAACTCAACCTTCTCTTTAAGTAGGTATTTGAACTTTGACACTACAGAAATGGTGAAATCTTTTTCCTTAATATCATTTTTGACAATTAATCTGGTCAGGATGTAGATAAATCTCTGACTACGGTAGGGCAAAATGTGTTTCTCAACTATTGACAATAAATAATTGAAGATATTTCTTCAACATCAAGCATCACACGTCATAGGAACCCCTTAGAATGATTAATAAAGTAATGCAAATTTTACTACACACTTCTTGTGACACACACTGTTTTCCACCTTTACCCACATAAAACAGTGTAAATTTGAACAAAATTTCATCCAAACATATATTTGGTTTCCATTTTCCAATTTTATTGAAATGACTGAAATGCACAAAATGAATCCAAAAAAAGAATGGTGCAATGCAATGATGCAAATGATGCTGTTGCACATCCAAACTACCAGTATAAGAAAAACAAGACAAATGCAACTGCATCTCTTATACTCCTCTGCCCTAAATTCAGTCTAAGAAACGGATGGAATTGTTTGTGACATACATGTATCACAATGAAAACGAAAGCCTATAGTCAAATGTAAACTAACAACTATGATCTTGACCTACTAGCCCCAAAATGTAATTGGATCACCTTCCTATGGTAATAGTGTCGCTATGTTTGAAGCTCGTACTTCAAGAAGTTCTTTACATGGAACCTCTAATAAAATAAAAAAAAGAGACCTCTTTGACTATTGACCTACTTACCAGAAATACAATCAGATTGTCTTCCATTGATGATACATACTATCAACAAGTTTGAAGTTTATATCTCTAGTGGTTCTTGAGATATCGCAATAGCAAGGCTAAAACCTGTAATTTAAGAAATTGACCTATGGACCTTTGATCTATTTGACCCAAAACCTGATCAAATAGTTTTCCTATGGTGATACATACTATCATCAAGTTTGAAGTTTACATCTTGAGTGCTTCTTGAGATATCCTATAAACAAGAAAGTGGGACGGACCTACGGATATACGGAAAACCTAAAAAACATGATACCTTTAGCACCACCTTCGTTGGGCCGAGGCATTAATATAATAAAAAATTAAAATGACAAAATGAATGAACTTTTCAATTTACCTTCCAGTGAACTTTCAGGGGTCACTTCTTGGGGTTGGGCATGTGAACACAATTGGACTACTCTTATATCAGGCCATGAGAGCTTCATTTGTTTCTGCTGCCAGATCAAAGCTGTATGTGAAGAAATAATGAAAGAATGAAATAGAATTATAATTCCAAACATAAAATAAAATTGAAATGAAACGAGATTACCACCTTCTTATGAACCTGTTTCACTGATAGCAGCATCAATATTGACCCTACACTCTAATGGAATCTCAACACTTTTAAATCATCATTGTGTTAAGCTCACCACATTACATTACATACTGACATCTAATAAAACATATCTCGCTAAAAGCTGATGTTGAAAAACGACATTCCAGATTCATTATCTACGTCCGTATCATCTACAGTCAAACTCTTTGCAGACGACACTAAGCTGCACTCTCCTGTGAACTCACTAGAAGATAGTGCTGCATTACAACATGATCTAGATCTCCTTGCAAACTGGACGGACAAGTGGCAACTCCCCGTAAATGAGTCAAAGACAAATGTGATGCATCTTGGGAAGTCTAACCCTAATGTCAACTATAACCTCAACTCGTCAATTTTGACATCTGTGGTTCTAGAGGCTGATCTGGGAGTATCCTTCGACAACAGCTTGAAGTTTTTAGCGCATGTAGACAGAGTTGCATCCACCGCGAACAGGAAGCTTGGCCTGATTCGCCGCACCTTTTAATTCTTGGATGAATCGGGCCTTGTACACCTCTACAAGTCTTTAATAAGGCCATCCTTAGAATACTGCTCCAGTGTGTGGCATCCTATTCTCAAGAGAGACCATCTAAAGCTGGAGAGAGTGCAATGCAGGATGACTAAACTTCTTCTGTCTATTTGAATATTCTGACCGGCTTAGACATTTGAAATTACCCACACTTGCATACCGTCGTCAGAGAGCGGATATGATACAAACATATAGACTTTTCCAAGGGATTGACCACAGTGACCCCAACCAATTCTTTCAAAGACCTTTGAATGACAACACGTGGCCACAGCTTCAATCTATCGAAAGTTAGAGCCTTCACTTCTATCCGAATGGGATCGTTTTCACAACGAGTCGTCAATTTATGGAATGCGCTTCCAGCTTATGTAATTGATAGCCCATCTGTAAACTCATTCAAATCCAACCTAGAAAAAGCATGGAGAGCTAAATATGACATGTACAACCCTAAAGAAATGTTTCCTTGCTATTGCATTGTCCGAAGCTCCGACGTAGACGCAATCCCCAGTACATACAGACATTAATCCTGCTGCAGAGGGGAATATAAGTAATCATACTTGAAGCCCAACATCAAGGTAAATCAAGGTAAATCAAAAACAAATCTCTGAAAAAAGAGGAAATCTACTGTCATTCCTGTATACCTGTTATCGCTTTAATAATTAAAGCTAATCTTGAACTCCGGTAATTGAATCTGTCAAGAGAATATGGCTATAATTTTTTCTGGATTATTCATCCTGCAGTAGATCGATTGTTTGAACCAGTAAAATAAAAATAAACTCACAAAAACTTGCTTGAAATTAACTTTAATAAAATTGACAACTCTCATTTGCACAGTATAGCAATATGTGTTAAGAACATGGTGTCAGGCCTACTTACTGTACCTTGATTCCTTGTCTTTCTATGCTCTTTACTCAGCCCCTATACATTTTCTATCAAAATCGTTTGGCACATGTCATTTATTTCTAATCTTGAACATTCAGTGCAAGTTTTGTTGGTTTCTGTGAGAATTTATTTTCTTATATTACCAGAACTCTAATATAAGTCCACTCCAAAAATAATTTGCTTTGAATAGATGCAGAAAAACAAGAGAAACATAGCACACAAAAATTGAGTAAAATCGTAACTAATAAGGAAGTTATTAATTTTTTAAGTAGTATGAAAAACTATGGAACTTACAAAATAACTACACAAATTTCCAATTTGGTTATAATCCTACCAGGTAGGTACTTATTCCCTGTACCCATTTGTCTCACCTAGGTCAAGTGTGGCACATGTAGATTATTTAATGTCTTGCCAAAGAACATTAAGTCGTGATTAGTGACGCAGCAGGACTCGAACCACAGACCTTGTGATCCACAGTCCGGTGACACCTCTAATTTTACAAAAATTTAAAGTGACAGTTAGACTACTACTTTTACTAGTTTTTTTGTTTGTAATATTAAGAAATGCAGGAAGGAGTCACGCTTTACAGTACAGAACATGTTAAAAAACGGAAGTCAAATGTTATGACTCGCCAAAGGCGAAGACCGAGCAAGTTACGGTAGTACTACTAGAACTGTAGTAGTCTAGGTCTTCCACCATTTTTTTACTTTTTAAATAAAATTTATTTTATCTTTACTCATTTTAGCGCTAATGCCATGCCATGGCTAATGCGTGTATGAGGTCGATACCTATAACGGTTAGACCTCTTGAATTGCAGGAGTGATCAATGAACACCAGCACCCAGCAGAAACTTAGTCTTACTTAATTTATTAAGTAGGGCCCTGCATCGTACACATCCAGATCTAGACCGAATTTACCTTTACCTTTACCGCAAATACTGGAAGAATGCTGAGACAGCAGTCGAGCTTCCAGGTCTATCTTCTTGGTCTATCTTCTTGTACTCATACTCTTTAATAATAATTCTCATTATATGCAAGGGAGGCAGAGGGGCAAGAGGTTGCATCTTGACTGGACAATGTACCATGCAGGCGCGTACGCAGGATTTTTTCAAGGGGGGGGGTTTTAACATTTATAAATCGGTCCGAAAATTTCGCAACGACTCAGCCAGCCGCTGAATAAGCGGGGGGGGGGGGGGGGGTAAGAGGACACATTTTTTTTTTTTTTCGGTCCCAAAAAAATCGCAACGACTCAGCCGACCGCTGAATAAGCGGGGGGGGGGGTAAGAGGACACTTTTTTTTTTTTTTTTTGGTCTCGAAATTTGGAAATTTGACATTTTGCTCCGTTGGGGGGGTAAGGTCACCTTTTTTAGGTCGGCCATGGGAATAATTTTTTTTTTTTTTTTTTTTTTTTAATAATTAAAAAAAAAAAAAAAAAAAAAAAAAAAAAAAAAAATCCAAAAGGGGGGGGGGGGGGGGGGGGGGTTTTAGGTTTTTTTTAGGGGGTTTACACACACAAAATGTCCAAAGGGGGGGTTTAACCCCCCAAACCCCCCCCCTGCGTACGCGCCTGGTACCATGTACAATGTCCCAGGAGCAAAGAAATTGAAAAAATCAGTTCGAGTATTGAGAGATATGACACTGTTCCTTCCAGCAACGATCAAGCCTGGTTTTGAAGGCGTCTATGGTGGGAGCCTGAACTACTACTTCAGGCAGAGAGTTCCAGTCGCCAATCACTCTGTGACTAAATGTGTTCTTCCTTACATTTGTCCTACACCTCGGCTTTGAAAGCTTGAGACTATGCCCTCTTGTTGGTGTGTCTGCTAGTTGGAAGAAGTGGTCAGGGTTGAGTCTGTCATGCTCATAAATGATCTTGTACACCTGAATCATGTCTCCTCTCCTTCTCCTGTACTCAAGGGATGGCAAGTTTAGGTATTTAAGTCTCTCTATGTAAGGTAGATGCAGCGAAACGTGTATGTCAAGCGTTGTGGCGTGCGCCTGTAATCCAGCTAAAAAGTGGAAGTTACAAACTGATTCAGCCGAGGTCGCAGGTTCGAAACTGAGTCACGTCTTTCGGATGGTGACGTTTAAAGGTCGGTCCCAGACGTAAATAATCATATCTGATTGATACACGTCTGTAAAAACCCAATACACACACACACACACGTAGGTGTTTCATTGTGGAGATCATCTTTGTTGCTCTCTTCTGTACTCTCTCCACAGCTTTTGCGTCTGAAATGTACCTTGGCGACCAGATTACATTTCCATACTCAAGGAGGGGGCGCACTAGTCCCTTAAACAGCTTGAGAATGGTGGATGTGTCATGACACTGAAAGACACGTCTGATGCTGATCAGGACCCTGTTGGCCTTGTTGATGGCATACGACACATGGCTGTGGAACTTCAGTTTGTCATCAACAAGTAACCCCAGATCATTTGTCTCTTCAACTGTACTCAGGGCTGAACTCCCGATTGTGTAGCGCTCCTGACAGTCTCCAGATCCAAGATGTAAAACACAGCATTTTCTTGCGTTAAACTGGAGTTGCCACTTTGAGGACCAGTCTGTCAATGAGCACAGGTCAGCTTGGAGAAGTTTGCGTTGGTCAGGAGTAGAGACGCATGAGAAAGCCTTGGTGTCATCTGCGTAAATTCTTACAGTGGAGTCCAACACCTCAGGGAGATCATTGATGTAGAGAACAAACAGTGTTGGGCCGAGTACGCTGCCCTGGGGCACCCCGCTCTTCACGTTGCACCACTGAGATCTGGCATTATTTACCACCACCCTCTGTGTTCGGCCATGAAGGAAATCAGCAATCCATGTTTTGAAGTTCCCTTGGATCTTGTAAGCATCAAGTTTTGACAACAGCCGTTGGTGGGGCACGCTGTCAAATGCCTTTTGAAAGTCTAAGTAGACAACATCAACCTTTTCTCCTTGATCTAGCCAGGTAGTCCATTCCTCAAGAGTGTGGAGCAGTTGTGTAACACATGATCTACCTGGGACAAATCCATGCTGAGAATCACTGAAAAGATCATGTGACATCAAATGTTCAACCACCTTATCTCTGATGAGAGATTCCATGATCTTACAGTAGGTATGTGACTATCGCGCACATTGGCTTGGTTTCAGCGCACCCGGCAGCGGTTTCACGCCCAATACGAGTTACTCTGCAGGGTTCCTCTTTGATTGCGTGTGGAAACGGCGGTTTCTCGCCAGCTTTGGCTTGCTTGTCTGATGACATCATTGGAAAAATTTCCTTTCGCCTCGACTTCTAATTTTCAGAAACGGACATGTGAAAGTGCATTTTTGTTCAAGTCAAAGTTCAATGTCATATTTACCATCGTAATCTTCCCTGAAGATAAGTTTTAATAGTTCTAAAACTAATTTAATTTGTTTATTTATACATTTTTCTTGTTACTTGATGAATATAAATCAAATCGGAACATACAATCATTGTTTTTTTACTTCCTCAAAATTGATTGTCAGGAAATTACGGAAATTTGTCTGTCTTTTTGTGGCAGTGAGTTCATTAACAACTAATTAGCTAATTAATTTGCTAATTGCTAATTACTAATTAATTATAGAAGGGTCTATAGTACATCAAATAATACAATATTGGTTTTCTTCCCCTATCACATGTTCTTTCCTTAAGGTTTCATCTAGAAAAATGAATAATTTTTACATTTTTGATAAGACCATCCTTTATATTGGTCATGGTCGGTCACAGATTTTGAGAGGTCTCAATGGTAAAACAATGGCGATAATTAAATCAGATTTTTAATCTTAAAAAAATCATAACTCGCTAAATATTTGTCCTAGAGCTATGGTTTATATACCATTTTAAATGGTTTTTCAAGCCCTTTCCAATGATATAAGATACAATGTAATCCCACAATTTTTATTTTTTTAGTCACATACTGACATAGGTCTACCTACTTACAGGGGACTGATGTCAGGCTTATTGGGCGGTAATTGTTAGCATCCAACTTGCTCCCCTTCTTGTGCACAGGAACAACGTGGCTAATTTTCCATGCTGAGGGAAGCTTGCCCTCTTGAAATGACTTGGTAAAGATGATGGCCAATGGAATACACACTGATGCTGCGGTTTCATGTAAAACACAGGGATGGATACCATCCGGTCCAGCACTTTTGAACTTGGAAAGCAAACTAAGTTTGTTAGCCTCTTATTGGGGTAGGGTCGGCCGGCTCTCTCTAAAGAGAGAGCCGACCCTACCCCAATAAGAGGCTAACGAACGAAAGAGACGGAAAATTCGGTCTAATCCAGATCCAGATCCAGAACCAATGTCAGATTTACAAGTTCAACATAGACCCTACACAATTATAAATACATGGGACCTAGGTGAAATGTTAGCAGGATAAATGAAACATTTCGAGCATTAAATATGAAATTTTCAGCAAATTTTAAATTCTAAGCTTGGTTATAATTTTGTTTTACAATGGATAAATGAACAAAAGCTGCTGAAACTACTTAATCTATTAGAAATACTCACCTCTCCAAATCGAAGAATTTTTCATCATGTACGCTGCCATGTTTAAGAGTGGTAAAAAATAAGATTGCTCCTATTCCTTGAAAAGAACTCTAGTAGCGCGCATAAAGAGAAGTCAACCTTTCCTGCGTTACGTGGATTCATAAATCTGAGAACAATCTTTTACGCCCACGTTCGTCCACGGCCACTCGCGCGAAATTTACATTGTAGATCTAGATGAGCTGAGCTATGCTGTTCAGGTTGTTAAAATTGAGGAATTTGGAAGCATTTACTGTTTCAGCAAGGTTCTGCCATCAGTTGCAGAGAAAAAAAGGTATTTCCTCTGAACTAAATACATTGAAGAAGGCTGCGTGTGCAAAAGGTAAGAAATTAGAGCGGAGATGGAGAGTGAAGAATTTTTTAAAGTTTTGTTTTTACTTTTTATTTTAGTTTTAGATTTTACTAACACTTTCTCTCACTTTTCAGCTAGCTCTCCCATGGATGGGAGAGCTAAAAGTTAAAAAAATGAAGGTAGCCGGGTCCAGAGTGTGTGTGTGATTGGGTTTTTACAGACGTGTATCAAATCAGATATGATTATTTACGTCTGGGGACCGACTTTTAACGTCACCATCCGAAAGACGCGACTCGGGTTTCGAACCTGCGTCCGGGTCCTCGGCTGAATCAGTTTGCAACTTCCAATGTTAGCTGGATTACAGGCGCACGCCACAACGCCTAGTTAGACTCGAGGCCTCTACTCTCTAGAGTAGACTCTGATCTACTCTCTAGCCATGCTAATTGCTATATATCTGCACATTTATAGATCTAGACTTAACCATGTTAAAGGTAGATACAAAGTTTTGGTATGGCCACTCATGGGGTCATGAATTTGGTTCAAATGAACATATTGGAAGCATTGCGATCCTACAATATTCAGTGATCATTGTCGCAGTTGAAATCGAGTCTTAAGTTATGAAATTTTAAATAATAAACTCTTTATGTTGTATAGCTCCCTCTCAAGGTCAAGATATTAATTAAGCCATAAAACAATTTTTCTTGATTTAAATTGACCAATTGGCTATTCCTGTTTGGAAATGACATATCACAACTACATATTCTGAGATTTTCATGGTCGCAGCTACCATTGTATGGCCGTAAGCGCTATTTGAAATTTATCAACATTTACCGGAAGCACCGGTCAATTTTTATATTCAATTTTTCTCAAAAGTAAAAATGTTTCAGGGGCTAAATTTTTTAGTGGTTATAATACATCCACAGGGGCATCCAAATATATCAAAATTGTAAAGAATTACTATGCTGTCTATTTTCAAAATTTCCCTAAACTTTGATTATCTTTAACACTAGGCTACAGTAGTACTACAGCTATTTAAAGTATTTTGTATGGATGCACTATAGAGGCCTTTTTGGCGCTGAAAAATTTGAATTTTGATCAACTTTTTAATTATATAAGAATCAATGATTATGAATATATAATATTCAGAAAACAGTATCAAGTCTTCAAAGTTCATAAAAGATTTTGTGAAATGTCTTGCATGCAATATGATACAAATCATAGGCCTATAACCTGGGCAAAGGAATGGGGAAATCAAGTTTGGAGTGATAAAAAGGGAAATTAATGGATAAAGATATATAAAGCAATGGATAAATAGTGAGGCAACGACGTCACAAACTGATTATCAAATTGGCAATTTGTGTAGTGATTTTTATTGTTCCAAAGCTTTTCATACTTTTTCAAAAATTCACAACTTCCTTATTATCCAATTTTAATCAAACTTTTTTTGATTAGTTTGTCTGATTTTTCTGCTTCTATTGAAAGTAAGTTTTTTTTTTTAAAAGTGGACTTTGGCTTAAAGAGAGTTGGCAATTTAAGAATATAAGATGGTTACTCATGCATGCACAGCTGGATTTACAAAAGTCAAGTATTTGATTAAAAGCATGAGCTGCTCATGATGAATATCATGAACACATTGTACCGGGGTGTTCAAGAATTCTGCAGGATGTTTCCTTGTACGTGCAAAACCTCTTATTACAAACACCTGATCTGGCCTGGTCACGCATGCATGCAAATAAAATAAAATATAATAAGATACATTTTTGGGGTCTGTAAGATATCAAATTAGTTCAGGCTTTATTATTTTTATTGTTTAAAATAAAAATTATGTACTCTTTTTATTATATACTTAGGAAAAGAACCACTCTTAGCATCAAGAAGATTTTCATGCACAACCAATATGGCAGAGAAGGTCACGATGGTGTTGGACTGTGACATTGGCGTTGACGATGCTACAGCCTTAATGATGGCGTTAGGACAACCCAATGTCGATATGTTGGGAATCACGTGTGTTAAAGGAAATATTGATGTGAACCAAGTGGCCATCAACGCTCTTCGAGTTTTGCAAAAGTGTAACAGATTAGATGTGAGTTAGAAAGGTAGCAGTATAGGCATACAAGCAGAGGAGTAACATATGGCCCGTCATTGTGGGTCCACATGCATTGTGAATTAAAGGGATCCGGTAACTTTGTCTGAGATCCTTTTAAAAAATCCTTGATTTAGCTCATGCTGCAATGATAATTATAAACCTGTAGGTCAGTCAGGAACCCCATGACTTTACAGTGATGAAAATAGTGTGTTTGATAGATACTGGTCAGGTAACACATTCCCGCTATAGCTACCACCATTGTGTTCCTCCTACTATTTCAAGTACTCAAGATAAGTGCCCCTTTTCCTTTGTATTAGAAACCTATTAGGTGCCCATTCCACATTTTCTCATAATTACCCCTATTAAAATCTGATAGGTGTCCCTTTTCCCATTCTCATAAATTCCCCTTTTCAGGTACGTAAGGTGCCCCTTTTCACTTCTGATAATGCCCCTTTACCATTCCTATAAGTGCCCATTTTAATCTCTCATTAGAGCCCCTTTTTACTTCTAATAAGTGCCCTCTTTACCTCTGATAATTGCTCCTATTAAAATTCGAGAGGCACCTGTTTAACTTTGACAAGTGCCCCTTTTTCTTTATAATAAGGGCCCCTTTTCCATTCCTGTAAGTGCCCATTTTTATCTCTGGTGAGAGCCCCTTTTCAGGTGCGAGAAGCGCACCTTCTCACCTCTGGTAATTGCCACTTTTATTTTGATACATGCCCCTTTCCTTTCTATTAAATCCCCTTTTTCCTTCTGATAGTTGCCCCTTTTTCCTTTCTCTGTAACGTGTGCCCCTAATTTAACGCTACTAAGAGCAACTGTTCATTTAATTTCTCCAGAGTCCAGAGCTTGCTCGCTTGCATTCATAGTTGATATAATTATGTTACTTATTTAAGATCTGTCTAATCTTTCATGATAAGTTTAAGCTTAAAACCCCATCAGGATTTTTTTCTTCTGCTTTATAAGATGTAATTTTTGTGCACTCCGACTTAAAGATATTTTTTTTTGCTCACTTGCAAATATTCAGACCATCACACACAACTGCAAAGTATGATGCTACATGTAATAAGCAGTATCTTGGACCATGTAAAGAGAGAAACAATAATGTAATCACAATGTAAGGGTATACTAATGTCTAAATTATATTTTCACTTTGTCATCACATTAATCCAATTCAATATACACTGTAGTGAATGGACAATGGATGAGTTCTGAATATGTTGATATCATTATAAACTGAGAAATATTTGCCAAATTTATTTGTGAAATTTATTTGTGAAATAGTGAATTTGAATGATCGTGATTGAAATTATTTGTGTATGTTATGTTTTGCAATAACAGATCCCAGTGTATGTGGGTGCAACAACTTCTATCCTTAGACATGAAATTGATGCCAGGGCAGTGCATGGAGATGATGGTCTTGGAAATATTCCCAACCCTGAGGCCCCTCCCCCGAGCGATATGCTCCAATCAGAACATGCTGTCCAGGCCTTAATCCGTTTGGCCAATGAGCAGCCCCATAAGATCACTCTGGTGGCTATCGGCCCATTGACAAATGTAGCATTGGCTATGAGACTGGATCCAATGTTTACAAGTAAATTGAAAGAAATGGTCATCATGGGTGGCAACATCAAAGGTTAGCTTGCTACTCAATTCTTAACTAAATTGATAGTACATGTATGTAAATTGATGTTATATAAATTGAAGAAACCGCCGGAAAACAAATGTTATGCCTTGTAACTGTGCATGATCAATAAAATTGAACTTGAACTTGAACTTGAATTCGTAGCAGAACCTCCTAACAATCTAAGAGAACTGTGCTATAATAGTTGAGTGAGTTCATTCAGGTGGAAGGTTTAAATCCTTGCTCAATTTATAATCACATGAGGTATTCTAGCTATCTGTCAAGCTGTCTATCTTTACCCAGTAGATTGATGTTTTGTTTGATTTCTTTGTTGCAATGCTCTAGTTGCAAGAGTAAAAGCATAGAATAATTTCCAAATCACGTTGAAATGTGGTATGTGCAATGAAAAACAGTATTGTCTAGCAAGGATCTTTGGAAGATTTGAGCTTTAATTTTGATAATTACACTTCTTTGCTACTATAAAATAACAAAAAGTTTGTTCAGAATTTACTTTACAAATGGATGAGAGGCATTAATTGCAACAGTGTATGGCTATCTTTGTAGGACTATCCGTAATCAAACTTCTTACAAATTCTCCTTCTTTGCAGTTTTTAAATGGCAATTTTTTTTCTTTCTTTTGTCGCTTATTGGCTCTGATTAGTTGGGACTAGGGCATGATTCTGTAGTTAATCATTTGCTCGAGCAAAACTTGCTCTAGTCTAGACCTCATTTGTCAAAGATATGAGATAGGTTTAAAGTTAGGTTTATGAGTGTTTTGTTACAACGTTGATATGAGGAATGTGACGAAGGATGAAGAAAAGAAAAAGAATTCAATTAAGTGTGGTGCAATTGTTGCAGAAGCATACAATTTCTCATCCACTGGAGAGAAAAAGAATGAAAAAAAAAAAAACTATTGAAAAGTGTTGCAGCGATGCACAAAACGTTGTGATCTTTTAGATCCCTTCTTGACCATACAGTGCAAGACAAACAAATATCACTAGCGATATTATTTTTGATACTACATCCGCAATGAGCAAAATATTAAGCATTAAGAAAAAAAATGTCTGTCTTTTTCTGGACTTAGGAAGGGGAACAGGATTCTGGACGGCAGAGTTCAACTTTGGAAGTGACCCTGAAGCAGCTCATATTGTCTTGGAAGAAGCCCAGTGTCCAACCATCCTAGTTCCTCTAGAGACCTGCATGGACCATTCCCTATCGTTGGTGAGTAGAAACCCAGTGTCCAACCATCCTAGTTCCTCTAGAGACCTGCATGGACCATTCACTATCTTTGGTGAGTAGAGACCCAGTGTCCAACCATCCTAGTTCCTCTAGAGACCTGCATGGATCATTACTATCCTTGGTGAGTAGAAACCCAGTGTCCAACCATCCTAGTTCCTCTAGAGACCTGCATGGACCATTCACTATCCTTGGTGAGTAGAAACCCAGTGTCCAACCATCCTAGTTCCTCTAGAGACCTGCATGGACCATTCACTATCTTTGGTGAGTAGAAACCCAGTGTCCAACCATCCTAGTTCCTCTAGAGACCTACATGGATCATTCACTATCCTTGGTGAGTAGAAACCCAGTGTCCAACCATTCTAGTTCCTCTAGAGACCTGCATGGATCATTCACTATCCTTGGTGAGTAGAAACCCAGTGTCCAACCATCCTAGTTCCTCTAGAGACCTGCATGGACCATTCACTATCCTTGGTGAGTAGAGACCCAGTGTCCAACCATTCTAGTTCCTCTAGAGACCTGCATTGACCATTCACTATCCTTGGTGAGTAGAAACCCAGTGTCCAACCATCCTAGTTCCTCTGGAGACCTGCATGGACCATTCACTATCCTTGGTGAGTAGAAACCCAGTGTCCAACCATCCTAGTTCTTCTAGAGACCTGTATGGACCATTCACTATCCTTGGTGAGTAGAAACCCAGTGTCCAACCATCCTAGTTCCTCTAGAGACCTGCATGGATCATTCACTATCCTTGGTGAGTAGAAGCCCAGTGTCCAACCATCCTAGTTCCTCTAGAGACCTGCATGGAACATTCACCCATTCACTATCCTTGGTGAGTAGAGATGGCACTTCATGGTGTTGAGTAGACAGAAATAACCGTCTGATATCGGTAATTTCTTTAATAAAACTGACATTTGTTGACATTCCCCATAATTGGAGGTCTAGTGGAGCCAGACGTAGTCTCAGTGGAACAACCGACGATTAGAGAGACTGAAGCTTTTGGTCTAGGTGTTGAGGTGATATGCAAAGCCCTTTGAAAACATGTCATGATGTTGTTGTTCGTGGAGGCATTTCTTTATATTGTATAACCTTTATACAAATCATAATTATTTTGATAAATAAGTTTTAAACTGTGACTAAAGTATCTTGTTTTCATTCTTTTCTTAAATATAAATATAACCAGGGTATTTTTTCAATTAATTATAAAAGTTGTGCCGGAATTCTACTTCTCATTTTTCTTTGGCAGTTCTTGGATGTATGTAGGAGTATTTTCGAACAAGGTTTCACTTGACTTTATGGTCTGTTTCATTCAAAATGCTGGTGTCTTATGTTGAAGGTGACTGAGATATGATTACTGCGTTTGGGGATGAAGCTGGCTGCATATCCTGCTGTGATTTTGAAACTTGCTTTCCCCTGTATTACACACATTTTGTTTCTAATTCTGGTGAGCCATATTAAATAATCTTGTAGGCCACACTTATCCTGTAGGCCACTTTGCATTGGATAATTTTGTTTGTCTTCATTCGCAGGAATGGTTTGACAAGCTGGCCTTACAGGATTCATCCAGAGCACAGTTCATGCATGCTGTCAACAAACGATCAATCACCCGCTGCAGAGACGTTCAGAAATTAGCAAAGTACATGTGTGCTGATGCATGCGCCATGACGGTTGCTATCAGAAGAGATTCGATGGAGGAGTCTACGCATTCCGTCTGTAAGGTTGAGCTGCAGGGAAAGCTGACCAGAGGCCAGGTGGTCACACATAAGCTCAACACTCCTTGGATACCTGACTTGAAGGGGGTGGACATAGAAGTGGTGACCAAGTTTGACATGAATACCTTCTGCAGGATAATGAATGATGCAATTGCCTAATTTAGCATTAGACTTCAATGTTGTGAGGGTGGTCAACAAACATAAATTCAAACATGTAAAGTTGAAACTTGGAAGGAGTATGAACTGATGTGTGGGAAGAAGGAAGCACAAAGTTTCTCAATGCCAGTGTCAGTGTTCACTATAGCCAATTAAGGGCCCTAGGGTTGTTATAGAATCTGTAGTTTCATACTTTAAGCATGGGGCTGGTGTCCAAACATGTTATTAAAAAATCAAATCTGTAGCTGTAACATATGGAAGTTTAGTACTTAAAAAATTTATGAAAACAGAAATGAGGAATTTGATTAGGGTGAAGGAAAACAAGAATTCAATTAAGTGTGGTGCAATTGTTGCAGGAGCATATACAGAAGTGATGAATTGATTTCTATGGAATTTGAAGTTGATTGTAAAAGTTTTACATTAAGACACTCAGGGAGACAAGAGGTAGTCTTTACAGACATATGGTCTGTAAATACAGGTTCCTAAAAAAAAAAAAAATATATATATATATATATATATATATATATACATACATATATATATATATATATATATATATATATATATATATATATATATATATATACATATATATACCAAATAAAAAGTCCAAAGACTAACAATAATTGGTTTACATTGTATCTTATAAGAATGCATTAAAAACAGTAGATTTAAAAATTCAGTAATAATTTAAAGTACAAAAAAAATATCACAAACAAAAAAAAGGATTGTAAATTATAAAATGGTATATTAATATTTAAAAAAAAGAAAAAGAAAGATAGAGTGAAAAGTGGAAGAGGCGCGAGGGAAAGGATAAAGAGAGGTATAAAATTTGAAAGAGAGAGAGAAGGAAGAAAAGGGGAAAAAAGACGAGAAAGATGAGGGATGAGAGAAGGGAAAAAGAAAAGAGAGTTCAATTTATGACAAAATATGGTAAGCAAATTAACAAGAATTGAGTTGATTCAGCTTAATGAAGCATTGTAAAAGTTAAAATGCACATAATACAGAAATGTCAAATGATACATTAATACAAATGCCATTATAGAGTTGTTATTATACTGTTTAACATTGGTGAATGACCTATACATATTGGTACCTGTTTCAATGAGAAATAGTGTTCAAGTGAAACAAAAAATGTGGTCTTTCTCTTCAGAAGATTGCTATAAAATCAGGTTTGATTGTACAATCAACCATACCTGCTTGATGCTTATCCAAGTAGTGACTTGAATCCAGGCCAGTATTTGCATTTTCTCTATATATTGACATACTATGCGGCTTTGTATTCTTTGGACTTCTTGTATTTTTTTACACTTTATTTTTTATAGATTAGGAAAGCTGCACAACTTGGTTTTCAACTTTTCATAGTTACGTAGTGATAATGTATCCAGAAACACTCGAGAACTGCTCTATTGACATCATCAATCAAGGTGAATAATGTGTAGAGAGAGAGACAGAAATGTACCTCAAACAACACATGTGTGGTTATTGATGTAGTGAACGTATATCAAAAGAAAGATGAGATATGATGCAGTTGTAGCTCTTATTGTGTCTCCCTTTATCAAACTTTTGATTGTCTACATGGTCTTCTTCAGGACTTCCGTATATACCATGTAATTGGCAGGTTTATATACTTTGTCATAGATAAGACCGCAAACCTACTGTTTATACTTTGTCATGTTGTGTTTTCATACAGTTAAGTTACTCAGTTAAGTTTGGAGTGGGTAGTTTGTTGATCCAACATCGCCGACTACAGATGATGATCCAGCTAATTACGCCCACCTGTTGCAATATATTTGATCCGCCCAACCCCACCAAGACTGCGACCTTCGACTTCTCGCATCCCACCAGACCTTGCGTCTTTCCCCCGTTTTGTTCAGAGCTGCTGTAGTGTTTCTACTTTCTGTCTCTCTCTATCTCTCGATCTGTCGATCTCACAACCACACAACTTTCTTCCTCTTTCTCTTTGCTTCCGTTGACATATGAACATCTGACCACAAGTCCTCAGGTTAGGATTAACGCTCCTTCTACTCGTTATCCATATCACCAACCCACCCAAGCCGCCATCATTACATGATACTTGGCTGTGTCGTAAATCTAAAACATGCAGTCTAGCCTTTCGTCTCATGGTCAGATTTGGTAAATGCCTTTATATTGGTATAATAAATGATCAGAACTTTAACTTAATGAACATGTTTTTTTGTTGTGTGTTAATTAGCCAATACTCCTGTCATAAATTCAAGGATAACATGGTTGCACCAGACAATCATTTATACATCCTTGATTATCAAATGTGTATGCAACTGGCATAAAAAAATCCATTCTTTAATTTTTATATGTATAGTACATTGTATTTAATTTGTTTGTTTTGGTTAATACTGTTTATAATGTACAAACGCTTCTATTTCATTAAATGTGAACAAATTTATTATTATGTATTACTATGTATTATTCGTTATGTCTGATTGAGAGGTGCATGAATTAATCAGTGCACGAGCGCAAATACTAGAGAAGGGATACAAAATTACAAATATTATTATCCACTTTGCTTTCCGAATAAGTTGCGAAGGCTCCCCGGGTTATTCTTGGGGGTACACCCCCAACGTAGCACGCCTTTATTAATAGGTTATTTTTTAATGCAGATCTATGCCTTTGTGCAGTGCCTAGTTACAAATTCTTCAATTCACCTGTTGCAAATGTATTTCAAAAGTCAGAATGCACATTGCATATTAGGGCAAGCCTTGTTTGTCCTACATAGCAACAACTAATGTATAATTGTATACAATGCACATTGCACATTTTGACTGTTGCAATACAAAAGACGTTAATAGATTTTTAAAAAAGTAAAAATATTAATAGCTCGTTCCTCAGTAATCTTTTATAAATATGAATACATTTTGAAAATGGCCTGTTAAATTGCTGATACAACAATATGAATATTAATTCTATATATTTTTGGTTCAATAGACTATTTTTATGCCTCCGTTACGAAGTAGCCGGAGGCATTATGTTTTGGGATTTTCCTAGACCCGTAACTTAGGAAGTGTTAGGCACCTTTTTACCTCTGTTAAGTGTCCCTTTTATTTCAAATTGTACCCCTTTTCCTTTGTAAGAAGTGCCCCTTCTCCTTCTCATATGTGCCCTTTAGGAAAATTCTCCTTTAAAATAAGTGCCCCTTTTCCATTTTCATAAGTTCCCCCTCTTCGGGTACAAAAAGTGCCCCCATTTTCACCTCTGATGATTGCTGTTTTTACTTTGACCCTTGCTCCCTTTCTTCTCTTATACGCGTCCTTTTCCCTTCTGATAAGAGCCCCCTTTTCTTGATAACATGAGCCCCTAATTTAAAGCATCTAAGAGCAACCTTTTCTTTAATTTCCCCAAAGTACACTTGCTTTGGTTGTTCGCATTCATAGTTGATATACATGTACATGTCATGTTACTTTTGTGAATAGATTGGGCTTAATATCAAAATCTGATCAGGATTAGTTTTTCGTCCTTAGAAGATGTAATATTCAAATTCAAATTATCTCTGACGAGTAGATACCCCTATTGTTTACAGTAGGGAAGGGGGGGGGGGGGGAGGTAAGTAAAAGTTTGAGCAAATATCGATTAAAATAAATAAGTTGTGAATTTTGCAATCAATCAAACACAATTTGGCAACTCTGACATATCTTGCGAGGTCCCTCCCATTCAAAACTTCAAAAACCTACATTGTCTCAAAAGAAAATTTCAATCATACATTCACCCTAAATATAATAAATGCAAATATGTTTTTTATACAACCCCTGTAAGAAACAAATCTATTTCATCATCAATAACCAAGAAAATGAAAGTTAAGAAATTTCCTGCACAGAACAAATTGGAGAGGAGCTTGCAAATGTTGTTAATTATTATTATTATTATTAAGATACATCACAGTGTTGTCAGTTTGTGTTTCACGGATGACAACTTAATTTCAGGGCGGACTTCCCCTTAAAGGGTTGTCTTCTACTGTCATTTCATTTTATTATTTTTCAACAACTCTTTTACTCAATTGACTCTCACCAACACTGTTCATTTCTTCCAGATATCATAAACAATCATTTAGAACCACACACAAAACATTAACAACTTGATCTGAAGACTTTAGTGTCAATTTATAATAACATAATTTTACTCAAATAATGTAGTTATTGTCTCTGTACATAAAAAATATTCATCAACATGTCCTCAATTAGTATGTTAACACAATAAAATGACCTACCCTATATTTTAAATAAACATTGTACTATTCTTCTTCTTGAAAACAACATTTTTGAAAAGTACCAGTGTCGTAAGCATATCTATTTACTATTAATGAATGTACATGTACTAGACTGTCAATGATCAGAAAGATAATTTCACAAATTTTCTGGAAAATAGGTTTCAAGTTAACTTGAAAAATAACCAAAGATATCTTCTAATGTACAAATGGTAACATTATTGGCATATTTACTACAGTACACTATGTACTGCCCAAATTAAATCATAACAGGATCTCATGTTTTAGATAAATAAATAAATATGACAATCAACATCGAATTAGATTTTGAATTTTGAAATCATCAAAATTGAAGAGAAAAAAATTCTCAGATTGTCAAGAAATATCAAGCAAAAACACTGAATAATATACCAAAGAAATGAGCTACCACTTAAATTTCAAGCCCTGTTTAATCTTCAAATCTCTTCATATTGTATCATGGCAAGCCCAAGCTATTTTGTACCACACATTACTGACCACATCTTAGAGTTAAGAATTTCAGATGCCTTAATTGATATTACTAGAGCTGGGATCAGATCACATATGAAGTAAAATTATACATCTGACATCTTCATGTGATATAAATAACTTGGTAATACATGGGACAAAATTGACCCGACCAAATACGATAATTGTCCATTAAAACCTAATCCTATAATTTCAGATTTGGAGGATACTTACAAATACAAGCGGCAAAAAACAACAACATGGAGGCTCTATGTTGTTCAGAATTTTCATATAAACTGTTGATGAAATATAAAATTAAAGAAATAAATAATACTCTACTAACATCAATTAGGATAATTTTTTTACTTTCACGCTAGATGAGCACATTCATTTAACTGTTGGGACAGATAAAGAAAATTGCAAAAATGGAGCAAGTAGCCATTCAAATATCAATGAACATGTGCATATTATCCCGGCTTTAGCCTAGCTGCCATTACAGTGCTCTAGCATTTCAAGGAATTGCCAGGCACCCATTTACCTCACCTGGGTCGAGTGTGGAAAATGAAGAATAATGTCTTGTCAAAGGACATTAGTGCCGTATTGGGGATCGAACCACGACCTTTGAATTTCAAGTTGAGTGCTTAAACCACTCAACTACGACACTTCTAATAATAAGAATGAGATTATATTCATTAATTGTCGCTAGGTAGGACTAACATTATGGCTTGTCAGCAGTGACGAGTTCCAGTGAAGTACTAAAGAGTTACTTGAAAATCTTAACTATAAATAGCGTTCACTATGTTTTTTGCTAAGCTAATCTTCAAGTCATCTTTAATTCATATATACCGGTAGTGAAAGTCAGAAATACATGTATTACCAATTCTTTATTCACTACACAGTACTTAATAATAATAGCAATTGAGTTGTCATGAACAAATTTTCTTCAACACATTTAAGGCACTGAAAATTTGAATGAAAATTTGAAAATTAATCACATTTGAAGCCAGCATCAAATGTTCTGGTTGTAATAAATGAACAAGATTGTCTACAACAAGATCACCTGCTAAATGTGGGGCTATGACTTCTTTTCCTTCTTGAAGAAGGATAGGAATGCAATGAAGTTACCTGCAAAGCAAATGAGAAAAAGAAAATAGGGAAAGGTACATTTAGTGTAAATGCATCTACATTGCTATGATATGTTTCTGTACATTAAACTTTTATGTCATAGTTCTAATAATATTTAGCTTTCATATTACAATCAAACCTTTAGAATTGTACGAATTTGTGATATTGGATACCGGTACTTTAATAAGCTCTCATATCCACTATGCAAGGTACTCAGGGTCCTCAACATTAGGCCTGGCTGTAACTAGGCTACTAATTCTGGTGTTACATGTAACAGTACACAGGAGCCCTCTTCTGTCCAGATACCCATTTCATACTTCAGTGGAGAGAGGCAAATGAGGTTTAATGTCTTGCCAAAGGGGAGTTATCACTATTTGATACAGAAAACTTCCCTTGGTTATAGTAGTCTTTAAGCTTCTACACACCAGCCCATTAGAGTCATGATCTTTGCATCACCGGTCAAGTGCATAAAGACTATCTGTACTAGTTTGGCCAGGAGAGATTAGACCACCCAGGGTGGTCACTGACAGGTGGCTATCTCACCAACTCAGCTCTCAATAAACATAAGAAAAAGAGGATCATGGGGAGCAATGGTCACCGATAAGGCATTGTTTTCTATATAGAGGGAGCAAGTAGCTACAAGTAGTACAGTGGGGCTTTAAACCACTCAACTACAACACCTATTATGGTGCATCTCTTCTCCCTCTGCGCCCACACTTGTTCCCCCTTACTCTATGTTCCTCAGAGCATCCTTATAAATTTGAGTTCAAGAACATAAGAACAAGAATAATGGGAAGAGAGAGTGAGCAAAGTGATATCCCACTCACACCAACCAGACGACACATGACTGACAAACATTAGAGTAGACCAAACAAAACAATGAATGGCCATGATTACGTCAGTGAGAGTCAGTTTGGAGTTGTTTTGGAGTTGGTTTGGTGATGTGAACATCAGTACCTATTAATGTAGAGGTGTTGTGGGCTATGGATACGTCTTCCTACCATGGATCACAAGGTTCACGGTTTGAGTCCTTTGGCAAGACATTAATAATCTACATTTGCCGCTCTCCACCCATGTGACAAATGCGTACAGGCAGGAAGGAATTCCTTGAATGCTGTGAGCACAGAAATCAGTAGCCTAGCAGAGCTGTGGTAATATTGGAGCGCCTTGGAAATCTTACATGATGATGATGGATATGTGTGCTATAGAAATATCTATTATCATTACTATTATTATGCATAAAGTTTGGGCAGTCTTTCTACTTACAAATGCACAAAAGGGCAAATCCACCAACAGCAAATGGAATAATTACAGCATACTTTCTGGCAGGAAACAGCTGATGAATTACTTGGTCCTCTTCAACAAACGGCTGTTTAATGATAAAAAGAAAAGAAAAAAATATGATTACAATTCTTTTTCAAATGTCATTGATACTTAACATACTATTCCGACATCCATTATGTGATGCAAAATAATGTTAAAGTGTGTTTGCGATTTTGGGCATAAAGAGATGACTTTTCAAGACACGCTAAAGGCAAGAAATGCTCACTTACACTGTAAGGTTTTTTAACCTTAATGGACACAAAGGAACTTCATACACATTTCATAAAGACAAAGTACACTTTAAATTAAAAACTTTTCCTAATATAACAAGAGGTCCGTGGACCATATGCTCACCTGAGCTGATAAAAGTAGGGGCCTTAAAAAATGGTCCTAGCTGATGCTCCCATCCCCTTTGCACCAGGAACATACGGTATATTGGAAAAGTAGGGAAATTTAGGGGTGCTGCAGGGACAGTGGACAGGTATCCCATTAAAACAAATTTAGGTTTTCTTTACATAACAAGGGAAATGCTCTCGGCGGTCTCGCCTGCATAACGCAATTCAATATGATAAACCAGAACGTCAATGACGTAGCGCTCATCCGCATCTCGCTACAACAAAAAATCGTAAATTTTATGTGGTACACTTTTGAACTGGTCAAAAAAAAAAAAAAAAAAATGGGATCTTTAAATTATTTTTGGAATAAATTTGCATAAATTACCATAATTAATTAATGGAGAACAATTTCAAAATTCTGTGTAGAACTTTAGTGTACCAAAGCTAGCTCTACCAGATAAAGCAAACCAAATAAAAATTGGTCGAGAAATGAAGGAGAAGAAGCATTTTTTGTGATTTCGAATAAATTTGCATAAATTAGCATAGATAATGAATTTCACGATTCTGTGTAAAAGTTCTAAATCCCCTTCCTAGCCCTATCATATGAAACAATCAGAATCAAAATCAGTTAAAAAATAACGAAGAAGATACATTTTGAAAATCTTGATGTTGATGCCACAACAAAGTCTAAGTTTTTTTTACCTTAAATGACCTTTGACCTTAACTTAGTGACCTGAAATTCTACTCACATAATTGGGGAGACTTGATAACCCTATAGTCCAAGTTTCATTGACAAATAACTTATATTTTCAAAATTATATCAAAAATTCAAAAACTTAACCTTAGGTTAAGTTTTCGATGATGATGCTACAACATAGTCCAAGTCTGTTGACCTGAAATGACCTTTGACCTTGACTTTGTGATCTGAAATTCTACTCACATGATTGGGGATACTTGATTATCCTATAGTCCAAGTTTCATTGACTTAGAACTTATACTTTAAAAATTATATCAAAAATTCAAAAACTTAACCTCAGGTTAAGTTTTTGATGTTGACGCCGTCGCCGTCGCCGTCGCCGCCGCCGTCACCGGAAAAGCGGCGCCTATGTCTCGCTTTTTGCTACGCAGGCGAGACAAAAATCATGTTCTAGCTTCCTACAATGTTAAGCCAGAGTCAATACCAGCATTTTGGTCTGAAATCATATCTACACTTCACGATCTATCGGAATATGAAATAAAAATTGAGAGTAATTTTGAAGGAATTTTAAAGAGATATCCTTGAATCAAACGGAATAATGGTTAAAACCATTTTTCTGCAATTTTAAATTTGCCATGCTCGCATTGCTGTTTGGATGGTGGATATTGAAGGGATCTTTTAAGGAGTCCATAAACATGACAAATCTCATTATTAGCGTTCATTAAAGGTATTACAAAGTTTTGGGAAATTTAAAAAAAATGGGTGGATAGTGATTCTATACAATTTTGATATATTTGGATGCCCATGTGGATGTATTAAAAGCACTAGAAATTTTAGCCCCTAAAACACTTCTGCTTTCGAGAAAAATTGAATATAAAGATTTACCGGTGCTCCCGGTAAATTTTGATAAATTTCAAATGGCTCCTACGGCCGTACTATGGTAGATGCGACCATGAAAATCTCAGAATATGTAGTTGGGGTATATAATTTGCGAACGGGAATAGCTAATTGGTCGATTTTAGTCAAGAAACATTGTTTTATAGTTTAATTAATATCTTGACCTTGAGAGGGAGCTATACAACATCAAGTGATTATTATTTATAATTTCATAACTTAAGACTCGATTTCTACCGCGACAACGATCACTGAATATTGTAGGGTCGCATATGCTTCCAATATGACCCCATACCAAAACTTTGTATTACCTTTAAGGCAGCACATACAAAATTGTGAAATTGTTTGAACAGCTTTGTTTCCGCCTACAATGCCAGAATGTTGACGAAGAAGTGTATAACATATTTACATATGAGGCAAAGTTCACAGGCCTTCACTGGTTCTGTAACAATTGTGACATGACTATTGTTGAAACCATGTCAAATATGAAAAATGGAGCTGTTCCAACTGCTTCAAAGGGACAGACTGTCAGTCAACAAGATGCCGAACACACTCCAGTGCAAGATTTCTCTACAATGGAGAAGTTGGCCGAAAGGATGGAAAAGAAAATGAACGAAAGAATGGATCATATTCTGAATGAGGCCCAGAGTATGCTGACAAGAATGATGGAAGTCACAGAGGAGAGGATGGAGAAATCCTATGCTGAAGTAGTCTGTGCTGCCTCTGCAGGAGATCTGGGAACTAATACCACAAAGCAGAACAGCGTACCAATACGTTGTACAGATTCCTTCAACCATCAAAGCTCAGCGTCAATGAGGAAAGAGAGAGTCACACCCTCTTGTAGTGTGGCAGAAGTTGTTACATTGACTGTGGATGAGTTAAAAGATAGAGATAATAGAAGGAATAATATTGTTGTGTACAACATGCCAGAACCAAATGAGACCATGAGATCCAAAAGACAATCCAAGGACAATGATCAGGTAAAAGACATGCTGTGCAATGGCCTTTGTGTAGACATCCAGGAGGGTGAAATTGAACAAACCACTCGTCTAGGGATTCGTGGCAAGGGACCAGATGCAAAGCCTAGAGTTCTTTTGGTTCACTTCAACGACCCCAGTCTTCGGGATGAAGTCATTCAGGCATGCAGCAAGCTGCGCAAGACAGAAAAATGGAGAACAGTGTATATCGCACCTGATCTTTCTAAAGATCAGAGACAAGAGAGGTGGAATTTAAGAGAAGAATTAAAGAGGCGTAAGGAAGAGGGAGAAGAGAACCTGATAATACGAAATGGGAAAATCATCCCAGTTAAGCCGAGACCCAAATCCGGTAATAGAGGAAGCACACAGTCTCAGGATCCACGTTCAACTAAACAAATGATGCATGCAGCTAATCAAAAAGAGAGTACTGATCATTTGGTCTCACAGGGTGCAAGACGTAAAGGGTCACCTGAGTCGGCAGCTGTTGAGAAAACACATATTGGATCGGCAGCATCAACCGAACATTGTGTTAATAAAGTGGACATGGAGTCGGCTACCGAGCATGACGTCTTCCAGGAAGATGATAACTCTAGAAGCCAAAACACTGATATCTGACAGCAAGTGAAAGTATTGTACAGCAATGTTGACTCTCTATTGAATAAGAGAGATGAACTACTAACTCGCATTATTGTTGACAATATAGATGTGATCTGCCTGACAGAAATTTACCCGAAACATGTATTGATTAGCATTGAAGACTTTGAGTTCCAGATTCCTAGTTTTAGTATGTTTCTTCCTGAAAGAAGGAAAAGAGGAGTCATCATTTACACAAAATTAAGCCTTCAAGCTAAACAATATTTTTTTGAGGACCAGGAGTTTGATGAAAGTGTATGGTGCTCGTTTCAAACTACATCATCCAGCTTACTAATGGGATGTGTATACCGTAGCCCGAACAGTACTGTAGAGAACAATGATAAGCTGTTGGATCTTTTGAAAGCTGCAGATAACGCTATGCACTCACATTATGTAATCATAGGAGATTTTAATCTACCGGAAATTGACTGGTCCAGAAATGTGTCGAACTCTACTGAATTCAGCTTCTCACAAAGATTCTTAGTAATCACAGAAGATACATACATGCATCAGTTAGTGACAGAACCAACAAGGTTACGTGAAGGCCAAAGATCAAACGTATTAGATCTGATCTTAACAGATCAACCAGATATCATCGATGACCTTGAACTTAAACCACCATTTGGAAAAAGTGAACATTTATCAATACAGTTTAATATGAGTCTGCTATATGAAGAGAAGTCTTTCACTCCTGCTTATGCATTCTTTAAAGGGAAATATGAGCAGCTAAGGGAGTACGTGGAGGAACACCATTGTTTTGAATGGACAGAGGAATACGTAAATCTGGAGGAGAAATATGCTTGCTTTGAGAAAACAATTATTGAGCTTACTAAGAAATTTGTACCGTTGAGACTTCCCGGATTGAAAGCCAGACCACAGTGGATGAATAGTGAGGTTAAGAAGGCGGTAAGGAGGAAACATTCAGCTTGGAATAAGCATCTGAGAGCTAGACGGAAGATACCTATTAATCCTGTCACTGTCAACCAAACAAGGGAGGAGTATAATGCTGTCAGAAATCTGGCAACCAGTGCCACCAGATCTGCTAAGGGAGGATTTGAACTCAAGATTTCGAAGGATGTAAAGAAGAATCCAAAGAGCGTCTGGAAGTACATTCAAAGCAAGTTGAAAGTCAAAAGTGCAATAGAGAACTTATGTAAGCCTGATGGTTCCATTGCAGAATCCGATAATGAGAAAGCTGAGTTACTCAACAATTACTTCTGCTCAGTTTTTACGAAGGAAAACCTCAACAACATTCCTGAGCTTCAAGGAAGAGATTACTCAGCTTGCTTAGAGGACATGATTATACATAGAGAGAAGATTCATCTCTTGATTGAGAAGATGGACCAAACTAAATCTGCTGGCCCAGATGGAATACACATTCGAATTCTAAAAGAATTAAAGCTTCACGTTATTGATTGTCTAGCTGAAATATTTAATGAATCTATGTCAACTGGATGTGTCCCGAAATCTTGGAAGTCAGCGAAGGTTGTACCATTATTCAAGAAAGGCAAAAAATCTGACCCAGGAAATTACAGGCCAATAAGCCTCACAAGTGTAATTGGCAAGATCATGGAGACTGTGGTAAGGGATGAAATTGTAGAGCATTTGGAGTCTAATGATCTAATCACCAAACATCAACATGGTTTTAGAAAGGGTCACTCATGTTCTACCCAGCTACTAGAAGTGACAAATGATTGGACCAAGTACTTGGATACAGGTAACAACATTGACTGCATTTACCTGGACTACAGGAAAGCTTTTGACAGTGTACCTCATGCCAGACTGATGAAGAAATTACAGGCTTATGGAATCCGAGGAAAAGTGTGGAAATGGATCTCCAACTTCCTATCTGATCGCTCTCAACAAGTGATAGTGAATGGCTCCAAATCCTCTTCCTGCCTGGTCACAAGTGGTATTCCGCAAGGAAGCGTCCTCGGTCCAGTATTATTTACGATCTTCATTAACGACATTCCCGATTCATTATCTACGTCCGTATCATCTACAGTCAAACTCTTTGCAGACGACACTAAGCTGTACTCTCCTGTGAACTCACTAGAAGATAGTGCTGCATTACAACATGATCTAGATCTCCTTGCAAAGTGGACGGACAAGTGGCAACTCCCTGTAAATGAGTCAAAGACAAAGGTGATGCATCTTGGGAAGTCTAACCCTAATGTCAACTATAACCTCAACTCGTCAATTTTGACATCTGTGGTTCTAGAGACTGATCTGGGAGTATCCTTCGACAACAACTTAAAGTTTTCAGCGCATGTAAACAGAGTTGCATCCTCTGCGAACAGGAAGCTTGGCCTGATTCGCCGCACCTTTTCATTCTTGGATGAATCGGGCCTTGTACACCTCTACAAGTCTTTAATAAGGCCATCCTTAGAATACTGCTCCAGTGTGTGGCACCCTGTTCTCAAGAGAGACCATCTAAAGCTGGAGAGAGTGCAACGCAGGATGACAAAAATTCTTCTATCTATTCGTGACTTGGAATATTCTGACCGGCTTAGACATTTGAAATTGCCCACACTTGCATACCGTCGTCACAGAGCGGATATGATACAAACATATAGACTTTTCCATGGGATTGACCGCAGTGACCCCAACCAATTCTTTCTGAGACCTTTGAATGACAGAACACGTGGCCACAGCTTCAAACTATCAAAAGTTAGAGCCTTCACTTCTATCCGAATGGGATCGTTTTCACAGCGAGTCATCAATTTATGGAATGCGCTTCCAGCTTATGTAATTGATAGCCCATCTGTAAACTCATTCAAATCCAACCTGGAAAAAGCATGGAGAGCTAAATATGACATGTACAACCCTAAAGAAATGTTTCCTTGCTATTGCATTGTCCGGAGCTCCGACGTAGGCGCAATCCCCAGTACATACAGATATTAATCCTGCTGCTGAGGGGCATATAAGTAATTATACTTGAAGCCCAACATCAAGGTAAATCAAGGTAAATTAAGATCTCTCCCTTTCCTGTAGGTGATTCCTAAAAATTCTTGTTGGAATCTGGCTTGGGTTTTCAAGAAGAAGAAAATGTGCAAGCCAATCAGTACCACTTTTACCCTTTTGTATTAGAGCGTTCTAAACAGAGAAATATCAGCCCCAAAAGGGGAGAAGAAAAAAAATTCTGACCGACCGACCCACGTTTTGGCACCCAAAGGGCAATACAAGTATAGACCCCTACAACATCTTTTTTTTAAGGCCTTACCATTAGTGGCAAGTTTTATACAACAAGGTTTGGTACAAAAATGGTTAAAGGGAGAAAATATAAAAATGAAGAGATTCTCACCAAGGCAATGATCCAAAATGTATAGTAGACAAACACCATTCCAGCAAAGGACAATAGTCCCATGCCAACTGCTTGATCTAGCCATGTCGCCTAAAAAGGACAAAAATAAAGAGATTTTAAGCATTGATATATAGAGGACAAATCATGTGTCGAACATCAGCAAGCTTTTTGAAGTGGGCCAGACATAGACACTACTAAAGGGATACCGGTACATGCTTTTTTCAGTCAGATGCAACCAGGAAAAACAAAGACTATTGTCTAGATCTACATATTTTTATGTTCTGGGCAATGCCAGGGTAGAGGGACCAGGGCCTGTATTCAATTCAATACTTAACTAGTAGTAGTACCGTTACACAATTTAAGCGTTTTACTTAGTATTTGGCTTAGATAAAATACTTAGCCAATTTTGGTATTCAATTCACACTTTTGGCTTAGTATTTTATCCTAAATCTAAGCCAACTCCATACCAGACTTAAGCCAATTATTTGGAGGCCTTGGTTGGCCGTTGGCAGGCATATGGTTTTCTTACGCAGCAGTATCATAACCTGCGCACAATTATATCAGCGCGCATTTATTGCAACGCATCAATTGTGCATTACTTTTGATTGACTGTGTGACGTCACAATAAGTAAATTACTTAACTTAGCCATTTACTTACGGTAGTAAATTTCTTACTTAGACTAGAAATCTAGAGTCCGACTATGCCAAGTATTGAATTGAATACCGGCCCAGCCCAAGGCAAGCCATAAATAAGGTCCAAATGACATTTAAAGATGTTTTCAGTCAGATAATTATGTTCTTACAAATCATATTGTCCTCTCAGGATCTCTCTGGCCTGGCTGTGTATTAAAAGCTGTGCTATTGATTCTTGGGCAACAGGCAGCAGAGGCCAGGCCAGGATAGTAATGCAGCTATGTGTGCCTGCGCCTGCCCTACCCTAACTCCAGGAAGCTCCGACGCCGACGCCGTGGGCGTCGGAGCTCCCTGGAGTTACCCTAGCCTGCGCCTGCAGCTGTCGGAGCCAGTATCGTGGCGCGGTGCGGTGTTGCACAGCAAGGCTAACTTTGGTTCAGACGAGTAGCAATAATCAGTTATACAATTTCCCAATATTTGTTATCAGTGAAATATTGAATTACTATACGTTAATTACAGGATAATTACCATTTCTCTCCCTTTTTATGTAGTCTACGACGTGGAAGACGTAAATCTGTAAAACTGGTGTGGTGGTGTAGTTGAAAAGACAAATCAAAATTGAAATGTTGAATCGATCGCGGATGGGCGGTGCTCGCGCGCTTCTCAGCGCCTCAGGGACACCGCCTCGGTGCTGTAGCGCCGCTGTAGCGCGGGTATATGCCTGCAGCTGCAGGGCCGGAGTCACTGTATGAAGGAAGTAGCCATCATCACGAGTCGATCACGTCAACGTCACACCAGCAAACAAAGTGGTCAATATGCTATGAAAGTAGCTAGGTTCGAAATCGAGTCAACTGATCCTGAGCTTACTAATACTACTAGGCCTATGTACAGGTATCGGATATGTTACAGGTATGTTTATTGTTAGTTGTAATGTTACAAACAAATTAAATCTCAGAATTCAAGATTCAACTTACAGGATAATTTCACAATCACACATAGGGTCTAGGGCCTATCTGCATTAGCTATCCTGGCTGTGTATCAAAAGCTGTGCTATTGATTCTCAACATTTCAAACACCACTGTACAAAACTCAACTGATCTCACTCAAAATCAGTACTTTAGTGACAATTGATGACACCTAAATAGCAGTAGACTCTAAAATACAATTTTTTCTCAATCTCAACTTATTGATATTTGTTAGAAAGAATATTTTAAAAATTCAAATTGTAGGTTTAACTAGACTCTAAGTCTACTGTCAAACTTGCTGATCACTGATCAGCCACATCGGAATGATTGTGTGCATTTGTGTATTATAAGTATATTGACTATTCATGGTGCTGCAGCCTAATCACACGTCGTGCAGTGCTATCTAGAGGTCAATGCGAAAACCAGATGCTGGTGATTGTACTTCATGGACATCAATTTATTGTCTGATTTAAAGAATACAGAAATTCGTCCTCCATTGCACTGGTGAGTGACATACATATACAAAGAACATAAACAATATATAAATACATTTGAGGATACAAAGAAAATACAACTTAAAGGAATAACAAAACTGACATGTTAAAAATTTGAAAACTGGCATTTTAAAATTGAATCTCGAGAATGCACAGAATGCTTAAATTTAAATAAAAGTGCTCTGGACATTCACCCCTTCTCTCCCAGAAATGGAGTATGAGGAAAAAACAGAAAGAGAAGGTGACAGAAAACTAGGAGCTCTGGGAGCCCTTGCTTTAATTATCATCAGTGATTAGATTAATATTTTAAAGCTTAAGACCAGTTATGGTCATGCGATTGCATTGTGAAAGAAATGTTGTGAAATCGATCAGAAAAGGTTGATCATCTAGCGTAGATATACTGCAAGGTTCGGGAATCATCAAAATGATAAGAAATTTGGCCAAGTCTTCATAAAAGTTAGAAGCACTGTACACAGAAAGATGTATATGGGACTACACACACATGCGCGACACGTGCATTTCATATTTCTCAACAGGCGAGAGATACACTAATTTACCAAATATATCAATTAGTAGGTGGTTTCCCATCAAAATTTTTATCATCATGTAATATTCAAAACATATTCTTTCACATGATTGGTAATAAGAGCTTCCATTTCATTTTTTGAAATTGAGGCATTTCCAATACTGGTCTTTACCTTTAATATACCATCAAACAAAACTTGAGACCTTTTATTTGATGCCTCATTCATCCTACTAGTACTAGCTCCAGAACCAAAAGGCAGAAGTAAGAAAGTTAGATCATGCTAATTTTAAATGCCCGGAAATCATGTTGTATATAATTGCTTTGTTTTCCTTTGGTTTTAAAACAAAAGCTGTGATCTCGACTGTGACCGAAAGACTCTTAGACTATTTCATTACGAAAAATTATGGAAAAATGTATGTTAATGCGCGAAAACCGCTAATCGTGCCATCATTTTTGCATCACATTTCACATTTTTCATCCCCCAAAAAACATTTCTCGTTCATAGATTTCGGTGAAATTTTACCAAAACTAAATTACTAAAGCAAATTCACATGTTAAACAATCAACCTTACAGACAGTACCTACACTGGCTACAGTAAATACCTTTTTTCTCAACCTCAATCAATGCGAGATCAGGGTCCAGAATGGCACTAAAAACGGCTCTTGTGAAACAGTGCAGCAAAACAAACTGGCGAAAACATAAATCAAGCTAAGTTTTAGTATGAAATGAAAGATCATGATGTCATATTTTTCTCATCCAATAGAAATCATGAAACAAAAATCTAATCAGCCAATCAAAAGCCCGCATATGCGTAGGCTATCCAAATGGTGTCCAATAGGCAATAGTGCATACAGTGTATCAGCCCGCAGCAGAAACCTTTGTATTGTGGCGAAAGCGTACACATTGTAACGTACCTATCGTATACTACTAATTACTATTACAAATAATAATTTATAATACTTTCTTTTTTATTTTGTCATTTAATTTTTTATGTATGATTTTTTTTCTCACTGATTTGCCTTTCAAAGTTTCAGCAGGTTCAGTTTCAATTCAATTTCATATCATATTCATAATTCTAAATTCTATTCTAAATTAGTAAGTAGTCTAGTTCTAAGACTAAGACTAGAGTTAGACTAGAGTAAGAGTAGACTCTAACTTAGACCGAAAGCTTGAGTCTCTGATATCGACGGTCGCTCTGCTGAGATTACATCTCGCTCCTCTGACCGCCTTTACCATGCGAGTCAAAAAAAGGTTATCATACATGTTTTGAAAGAGTGTTATATCCTGAATAGTTTGGTATTATATTTGTGTAGTACGTTTTTACGCTTGGATGAACAGCGGGCATTGTTTGCAAGAGTCAAAAATAGACTTGTGCAAAAATATTAAAGTGAGAGAATGAATTGAATTAATGTATCAAATGAGATACATTGCAAATTTAGTTTACCAGTACTTTAATAATCAATTATTTCCATACAGGTTGTATACAAACAAGTTTGTGATATTATGCATACCTGGCTTACCTAGCTGTCTTAATTTACACATACCTGGTACTGCTTTCTAACTGGATTCTATCGGATTCACTCCGATGAAAATACTGATTGAATTTTCCTTATGTAAACAAAGGTGAAACCGCAGTTTTCCCCATGTCGTTTTCTAACTGCCGGTGAAATTCACTCGCTGTGGCGAGCCCTTGCCGGAAGTGAAGAATTATTGCGTAATTGTTAAGCCCGCGCTCCATCTAGCTAGCATGCAGCATGTTCAACCATAAGTTAACAAACACAGCTGGTGACGATAAAGCGCGCGTATACTGCGACCTTTGACCATTTTAATCGCTGTTTTAATCGCCTTTTTCTCCCGAACGTTTTCTAACTGGCAGTTTCATCGGTGTCACACCGATAGAATGAGAATTTCTCCCGCTCTTGACCAGGAGAATTTAATCGCCTATTTCTCTTCTTTTCATCGGCTATTTAATCGCCTTTTTCTCCTCTGTTGCTTTCTAACTGGCAGATTCATCGGATGCGTCCGGATGCATCCGATGAAAATCAGTGCAGTTAGAAAAGGGTATTAATTTCAAAAGATAAGACATTCAAAAGTGGAAGTTCTGGTTTGCATGTACATGTAGGTATATCAGTGGAAAAAGTGGCACTGTTTCCTGGCAATAATCTGCTAAAACCAGTATATATTTTCAAAAATGGAGTGATTGGAAGACAAAGGCATTGGTGAAAATTTTCAGACTATCTACTCCTAACAGTTACAGAACTGGCAATTATACTGAAGAAAATGAGGCTTGTTTTAAACATTTAGGTCTAGATCTGATCAAAGTGGATTTGTTACAGTTTAACCATAAAAAGATCAGGTTATTTTGGTACTCTCTCTGCCAAGTAAGGGGGGGGGCAGGATATTCTGTGATCTGTGTATCTCCTTATGTTCATCAGTGATACATATATATTAGCAACACTGTGACACATGTTTCGAGGTCCTTTCCATTTAGCTCTGTACAGACAATTTCATAAGCTTTCATTTTCTTAGTTGTTGATGACGGAATAGATTTGCTTCATACAGGGTTTGTATAGGAACATATTTGCAATAATATGTATGATTAAACATTTTCTTTAGGGATCATTTAATTTTTTTCTCAGATAGTTTTAGTAAAGATCAAACAGGAGCTAGGAGCCTTGCAGGATATGTCACAGAGTTGCCAATTTGTGTTTGATCATTCACAACGTCAAAAATTCATAACTTTAATTTTCTTATTTTCAATTGGATTTTGCTAAAACTTTTAATGACCTGTTCCTCTCATTTTTCTGCTTCTATCAACTCCAACTTAATATCAATAGACTGATCCCCCTTTAATAGAAAAGCTTATATCCTCTCCTGCACATAGACTGTTCATAGTTGTTATGTTAGCATCGACCAGCCCTTAATATTTAATAAAGACAGATTATCTTCCTTCTTTTTCAGATACTGCCAACATCACACTTCCAGTAAGACAGACAGGCCTCCACCCGAATGATTATAAGCACCTTTATTCCTTGCATGAAAGATTCTTGAAGGAATATGCAACGTGTCTTCAACATCATGTTGGCTGCACTCTTCATTCTCCTGTCTCTGTCAACCATAATTATCAGCGCTGCTGAAGTCACATGCATCAAAGACAACTACTGCCGCTGCACCCTGAGCGATAACTCTTACTACTTTGATCTGGAGCCGATGTTGAAAGGCGTGGCACCACCATTTTTTAAGCTGAATGGCGCAAACGTCACCTATTTTTACGATCCTTGTCGGTCTTTCTCCATGACGGGTACCCTGAGTGAATGTACCAATGCTGCATTGTGTAGCGAGAAATTGGACGACATCTATCAAAATCTTGGGATTCATGATACATCAGAGTTTCGGTACACACCCGACGGCGCTTCGGTGAAGTTGAAGCTCCTCTACCACAATGGTAGGTATGCAAGAAGAGGTGTGTGGCTGGTGATCTACATGTAGCAAGTTCACACTCTGTCAATAGCTTAATGTGTATGCAAGGCTCCACACTTAGCATTTAGTTGGGGGTCCAGATTGAAATTTCATGGTCTGCATGAGCCGCCCCCATGTTAACTTTTTTGAAGGGGGGGGGGGTCTAGACATGGAATGATATATGGCATTTTGGCACCCATCTGTCCTGGGGGACTGTTAGTGTTGTGCCCTAATATATGCCTTTTAGGATTCTCTTCTCTTGAAGAAAAGTTCTGAAAGTTCAAAAATATTCTCTGGATTGTCAAAGTGCACTACAACAGCCTACCAGCAAAGTGCACATTTAAGATGTACAGGTAAATTTTCTTAAAGCGAGCTGGTTTACGCCTTTTTGGACTCTTTAGGTTCTTAATATTTTGTACTCGAGCACTCAAGGATACAAAAATGAGGTGTTAGTTGCCTTAATATGAGATGTTTGATGCCCGAAATGAGAAGAAATCTATTCAAGTGAGGCAGATATATATAAGTGGTCCTTATGAAGAAGTTTCTACACACATTTCGATGGGAAACATTCTTCAAGGGAAACAAAGAATGTGGTTATAAATACTGAAGCAAGTTTGGGTGTGATTTTATTATGACATTGCTTCCTTTCTCTTTTCTGCTGCCTGCAGGTATGAGTGGTGCAGATCAAATCAATGCTACCGTCTGGCTGACATGTAGAACTGGAGGCATATCATCTTTGGAGCTTAAATCAAGTACTCCCACTTACTACTTATTTGAGTTGTTTTCACCGTTCGCATGCCAGAAAGCTGTGCCTATACCTCCCTCCCAGCTTACTGCTGGGGGTGTTTTGTGCATCATGTTTGTCGTCTTGGTAACTGTCTACTTTGGAGGTGGTAAGTATCATCATTTGTATTATACATGAATTTAAACTTTGGTTTGGTGTTGTTTTGTTTGGGTACAATTTAAATTGAGCATAGTTTTAGCATCTCAAGTCATGATCCAGATCTTGTGATTCTCTGTGCAGTCTTCCACTTCTGCTCTCTCTCTCTCTCTCTCTCTTTCTCTCTCTTTTTCCCTTTCTCTTCCTCTTTTTCTATTCTTCCCTCTCCCCAAATCTCTTTTTTCAAGATTCAATAATCAATATAGCTGTATGATATATGTATATCATATTAGAACCTCTGTCTGAGCTTTCACTTTTGATGTGATATATTGTTATGTCGTAAATCACACTTTTAGTTTAGAAACTTGTGCACTCGATTAGGCATGAGAAGGAAGGCGTGTGGGCCATGGTTATTTAGTTGACCTATTCCTTTCCAGGCTGCCTCATCGAGTGCACCAGTTAAATTATTGCCATTTATTTGTATAGAAAGTGGAAATTAGATAATAATAATCGAAATAGTGTTTAATCTATTCTTTCAGAGATTAGTCACTGTAGACTGAATACCTCAAGTTAGCAGCACACAGATGTCAAATTTGATCTTGTTTCTGCACTCACCCAAAATATGTACCGGTACATTTTTAGGGTTAAAGCAGTTTGGCATAGGTTAAATGAGATTAACTTTCATCATACATGTACTCATGACTTGTGTTTTACACACTTTTATTAAGGTTTTGGTGGTTTTAAACTGATTTTTGTTGCCTTTTTTATGAAAACTGTTATATTTTCAATAATATGCACGTGCATGAAGGAATTCTTGCCCAATGTTTCATCTGTCAGTGTTCTCCAAAACAGTTTCCAATCACACAACGTTTGATGTAATTCTCTGTTTATTACATGTCTTCTGTTTTTTTCTTCCTTCAGGATTCATCTATCTGTTTTGCTTTAAGTATGAGAGTGGATTGAAAGCAGTACCTCATCACGAGTTTTGGTCTTCTTTACCTGGACTCACCAAGGATGGTTTTCTCTTCTTGATCTCCTGTGGAGGCTCAAAGAGGATGCAGCAATCTGGACCTGAATATGATCAGATCTAGAGCCATTTGGATCCTATTTTGACCTCAATGTACCAAAGTCCAGGAACCATGTTGTAGGCCTCTTCCAATGTCTTCCTCTGAGCTCTTCACTTTCTCCTGCATTGTGTGGGCTCCAACAGAATGCAGACACTGGACCTTAATTAGATCAAATCTAGAACTTAACTTAACCTGAATCTGTCTAAGCCCAGGAACTAGGCTATAGACCTATTCAAAAATGTCTTCCTATCCATACTTCTGTAATTGAAGAGGTTTCAACAGAGTGCAGAGTCTTGATATAACCAGCTGGACCTGAACCTGTCCAAGCCCAGGAATCAAACTCTTGTCCTTTTCAAAAATGTCTTCCATTTCATATTCTCCTGTATTTACGGAGCCGCCAACAGAATGCAGACATCTGAGCCTGAATATATTCATATTTAACACCTATCTAGACATAAATCTAGACCCCATCTGGACTTAATTGAGACCAGGAATCAACCTTGTGGACCTAAATCTGCCCAAGTCCAGTAAGGAGTCTGTAGACCTCTTCAGATTATGTAGGTTATGATATTAACTAACTGAAATATTTCTGTGAAAGGTAAAAAGTCTTTAGGTTGATGTTAGTAGTAAACATTTTTTGACCAATATGACGTGAAATAATATTTCAGTCTATAAACTGTGCACAGGTATTGTAAAGGCTTTTGCACACTTCATGACTCTGCTGCAACATGATTTTGGAAGAAAATTCACTTAAGAGGAGAAGCAGTGTACATAGAGATTGTAGGGTGATGAAAGCTTCTCAGTCGCAAAAAAAGAAGGAAAAAGAGAAATGCCTGATTGGTCGTGAATAACCAGTCACACGCCTTCCCAACAAAATGTTACCATATTTCGGACTTCTGCCAGGAAGAAATTACATTCCTGAAATAATGAATGTATAATATTTTGAATAGTTTCCGAACCCACGCCCCCCCCCTAATAGGTTATGACTTATCACTGGGGGGGGGGGGGCACATTCTATGGACAGGTCACTTGTGTGATCTTTCTATGCAGGTGGTCATTTTTTAATGTGGGTTTCACTGTATATGATGATGATCACCACATTTTTGTAGAAAAAAATCTCTTTGACATCTATTGTGATACTGTCTTTTGATGTTGGTGGTGCGTGAGGGGAATTGATTTCCTATGAACGAGGTACTTATTACTAGCTTATTACAGGCATATTTCATGCTTATTTCTATGCATATACAGTCAATTGCCGTATTGCCATGTAGGAAAGTTCTGTTGAGCTACACATTTATATCCAATTTATTATCAGTTTTCCCAAGTATCCATGAGAAAAAATATTATCAATATATGATTCTGTTTTCCTGTGCTTCCATAAAATATATCTTTCTAGAATGACTGCATAAAACAATGTTTCTACTTAAATAATCTGTAACCAGGAATTTTTTAGATTTTGACTTGACATTCCAATATATGCAGTCCCGGTCCTGGTACCGGTAATCATTTTTATTGTATATTCTGATTTCACTATCAAGTATCAAACTTATATAGATGTACATTTTGCCAGCTCTGTCAGTTTTTCTACCTTTACCTTTGGATAAAGTCTTCCTGTTTTAACCCCAGTAAGTCATTTAAACTTAGTTGTAGTTGATTGGAACATGTTTGCATGATTGGTGACAAAACAGATATATTTTTACATATATGGCATACATACTCTATATTATTATGACTATTTACAGTTTAATTTGTGATAAACATGTTGTGTACAGTGGCCAACAAATGAACTGGTTACTTGGAGTCCTAAGGAAGCTCTTAATACTCCACTATATCATTTTATTTAGTTTGTGATATGTGCTTGTGAAATGGAATCTCAGCATTATTTCACCAAGCCTTTTCTATGTTACAATCTGCCATGTTTAGAGTTATTTATTGCATTTCTTATGAGAGTTTAATAGAGAGATGGGTTTTTTTCTTCAGAAGGCAATTTTATTGATTCGTTTACCGGTATGTAAAATGTGATGTGATAAATGCATATTATCTACTGCTTGTCTTCCATTGACTTCATGTTATTTTCTTTTATTTTCCATTCAAACAATTGAATGAAATTGAAATATAGAAATTATAATAAAGCATATATGGTTATATTTGTATCAATACGTAATGAATCGTGATATGTAGTCCTTCATTTTAGATACATGTATAATGCAAGTACATGTACAATAGAATACAGAAGTGTGATGTCATACTGGCCAAGTTGTCAAGGTTACTGGTTCCAAACAGTTTTGTGCTAAACAATGGTGTTGTGATCACACCAGCCACAAACACTGATTTTGTCCTGCTCCAACCCATTGCTTGAATGATTTTTTGTTAAACCTCATGCACAGGCTCTATTGTTTAGAACCAGTAACCTGAACAACGAGGGAATATGATGTTGTTACTTTGTTAATCTTTATGTGTTACTCAGGATTTTTTTGTATGGAAAGACATTCATTTGCATTTTATCTTCTAGTACATTCTGTATGCTGTACCACATAGTTTTGCTGTTTTTCTACACCAGCGTTAGCTCGCTTCGCTCTCACGCATTATTTAGAAACGAGATGATTTCAGGCACCAAAGTGCCTGAATACCTCCATAAATTCTGATATTTAACGGCAGGGGACCTGCATACATTATTTCATATCTTATATAGTGTCTTGATTACAACATAATATTTTAATATTTTTAAGATGTAATTTTGGGGATCACTTGCAAAAATTAGAAAAAAATGTCTGTAGATATGAACATAGCACTTGAGTTTCAGTGTGATGCAAAGTAATATTCTATGATGAATTTGGGATTGGGGTGATGCAAACCTTGTAGTTTTTGAAAGGGTGCCTTGAATGAAAAAAGATTGAAAAAAAGGTTGCTCTACACCGTAAAAACAATGAATTGTTGTCGCAATACATTATGTCAGGTGCTTTGTTTACGGTTTCAGATTTGTGCCATGGTCAGAATAGCATGTTTATGGGGCACAGTTTGTGTACTATATGCAATATTTGATTTTAACCCCTCCCCAAATTTGCCACTGATATGTGTGTACCGGTACATATATATAACCCTACATGTTGTATTAACAGGACCCTAAACAGTTTAATAAAAACTGGTATATTACCCTAACCCTAACCCTGAATTCAAAACAAACTAATTACCGGTAAAGTAATGACTAATGATTAAACCTATTGTTTCTGCATGGGAGGCCTGTAAGTTTTCACTGCCTGCAAACGTACGTAGAGGGCAGTAATTATATTGTTCAATCGTTCACAGGACACTGTCCTGCTAATGACCATGTCTACTTAATGGCTCATTTTTTTCACAAGATACGTCGGTCTAATAACGCTGTAAGATGTATGTATGTATAAGGTGTATGTATGTATAGTATTGGACACATGCCATTTTTCTACTTTATATCTTGAATTTTTCAACACCTTTCTACACATTATGAACTTTGCAGTTCATTATTTCTATTGCTAAAAGATAAAAAAATTGTCTTTGTTAAAGTATATTTCCTTCTTGTTTTAGAGAAGGTAGAGATTATGAATATATAGATTATGTTTATTTGTACTACAAAGAATATTGAGAATAAATATTCTATGCAGTTTATTCTGCCGAGTTTTGAAACTGACTTCCAAAGACGATTCTCTCATTTATCTCTCTCCCTCTTTCCCTTCTCTCTCTCTCTCTGTCTCTCACTCTTTCATGTCTCTCCCTATATCTACAATATCATATATGGGTTCTAGGACACCTACCCCCTGGACATCCACCCCCCCAGGACAACTACCCCAGACAACTATCCCTAGGACAACTACCCATGGACAACTATCCCCCGGACAACTACCCCCTACGTCAACCATCCTCTAGGACAACTACCCCCGGACAACTATCCTAGGGGGTACTTGTCCAGGGGGTACTTGTCCAGGGGTAGTTGTCCTAGGGGTTAGTTGTCTTGGTGGTAGTTGTCAGGGGGTAGTTGTCCTGGGGGGGGGGTTAGTCGTCCTAATGGGTGGTTGTCCTAGGGGGTAGGTGTCCGGATACGCATGTTTATCTAGCTTTTACCCATCTATCTACTTCATCAATCTTTCTGCCTATCTATTTATCATTCTATATAGCTATCTATTTACTTTGAGGAATAAAATTCAATCGTATAGTAAATCATTATTACAATAAATTAAATTATTATTACAATAACAACTTTCGTCACTCGTTCAACTGCACTGATTGTCAAAGAAAAAATTAGACAAACAAATACAACGACATCGAACATAATGTTTTGAAGTATTTCATAATTTATTGCTTTTGTCTTAAGTTTATATAATCACAATGATTTTCCAAGGATTTGGCGCAAGATATTTTGCTGACTTTTCTTTGAAATTGGTACGGATTCGGTTATGTCGTTTATCGGCTCAAGCTCATTCATAACAGTTTTGGTTCTTCATAGTGTTGACAATAATTTGTCTTACTCTTTTTATTTATACTGTAAGTCATTCTAAATTTCGATTTTTTTTTTTTTTTTTTTTTATTGTTATATTTAAAAGAAAAATGTTTCTTCCACGAGACATGACCAACAGTTTGAGCCATTCATAATTCATATAAGTAGGCTCTGCAGAATGTTTTGTGCTTCATATTGCTGTCACTGGAAACTATTTTTTGATTTCAAGCTAGGGTCCTTGCATCATTCTCCTCCATAGTTCACTTCGGTTTCGTTTCCTTCGCGATTTGTTTCCTTATTGTTTATCTTTCTGAGTAAAACGTTATACGTTCAGACGAGGTTTGTGCGGACCGCCGTTAAGAATACTCCATCAACTCCTGCGTGAGAGGCTGAAATGAAAGATGTCTCTCATCATGTTCATGGGACACGATCTGTTATCTAGCTTCGACCATGGTTGCCGGTTTTCTGTTTTCGCACTTTCTTGCCAACTGCATTTATCCAAAGCTGTGCTGAACCATTTTTTGGTTGAACCTGTATGGCACGATTCTAACTGTTGGCTGTACTCATGACAATACGGTAGATTGATAAAAAGCACGCAGTGATGATTTATGCTGGATCTACAAGCATTATGTTGCTGATGTTGCTATAGTTTCCTGTAATGGTAAAACAATTGAGAAAGAAAAACAAGTGATTATACTTAATAGGCCTACATAATATTGTTTTTCGGTTTATTTTTATTTTTTTCTTATGTCAATTACATGTCCTTTTCTCTAAGCTTCATGAGCACCGAAAGGTAGACCTGAGCGCTATACAAGTAGCCACTATTATTATTGATTATTATATTGTATACACTTAGTTAAATCGTGTTTAATCATAACACGGAGGTTAAAATGTCACATGTACATTATTAAGGGTAAAGACGAACAAAGTTTTGCCATTAAAGACCAGCCCACATTATTCTCGGACATTTTAAGACTAAAGAGCTAGAAAGTACTTACTATGAAAATGTGGTTTCGTCATCTTTATTTCTGCCAATGCAACAGGTGATTGGGCATTATTATGAGCCCAATCACCGCGTTTATTACCCAAGAATGCACTTGAGATGCATCCAATTTCATTCATGCAAATTGTCGAGGCTTGGATGTACACAGCGCTGTCTGGTAGCCGATTTGCAGGAGCCTCGGCTGGAGATGATGGGGGCTTGCTTATGCTGCTGTTTGAATGACATGAAAATGCAGAGTAGGATTCACTAACTTGTTTTCAGTCATCATGTTAAAACTTTGTAGTTTTTCTAAGCTGTGTGGCATGCTACAAAGACGGTGCTCCATTCACATAATGTTGCAGCAGTGAGACTGACAATTATATTTAGGCATTATGTAAAGCATTATCATTGACATGAATTTTGATTATATTTCATTTTATTTCTTTACTGGAATGATTATAGAATATTTAGAACAATAATGTGTTGACAACGAAATCTGCAAAGACCAGCTTATGGAAGTAAACTTAAAACGTGTTAAAACAAAGTCTACGATAATGTCGATATTGCCAACCACTTTATTAACTATCGTTACAGAAATTGGATGCTCGGCCGATTGCTAGGGAGGTCTGAATTGGGAGACTAGCTTTAATTTGGGCAAGGTTTTGGGAGTGTGAAAAAGTTTGGAGCTGAGGCCGAGGTAGTTTGAAAGTTGAGTTTGAAGTACTTAGAAGGAGCTGGGAAGATGTGGCTCGGGTGTTTTTAAAGCCAAAATGGGCAAGAACCAGTATAAATGTGAGTAAATGTAACTGTATAATTAGGTTGTGGCAAGTTAATATATCGGATACCACCTTCATTTTCTTTTGAATAAACATCAGTTACTTTAAAATCAATGTTCGATAACTCTTTTCTCGCAGACACTGTAAGAGTGTAATTGTATGTGTTTGTGACTTGGCCATGGCCTTGCGTGAGCATTGATTTAGGCTAGCCTAAATCTATACCCCTAGAGTCTTAAAATTTCCCATTTTCTTATTAAAGAATTCCCAAAAATTATAACACTATTAACATCTGAAATTATTTAAACTCATCATGATGTGCAATCAAAGTGTGGGGGGCGGGAGAGGGGGGGTGAAATGCTCACCGATGATTGGCTTAAATAGCTTTGTTTTCACCAGAGCAACAACACAGCTTCTTGATGATAGTTGTATCTCCTCCTCCTCCTCTTCCTCCTCCTCCTCTTCCTCCTCTTCCTCCTCTTCCTTCTCTTCTCCTCCTTCTCTTCCTCCTCCTCCTCCTCCTCCTCTTCCATCTCCTCCTCCTCTTCCTCCTCCTCCTCTTCCTCCTCTTCCTCCTCTTCCTTCTCTTCTCCTCCTTCTCTTCCTCCTCCTCCTCCTCTTCCATCTCCTCCTCCTCTTCCTCCTCCTCCTCTTTCTCCTCCTCCTCTTCCTCCTCCTCCTCTTCCTCCTCTTCCTTCTCTTCTCCTCCTTCTCTTCCTCCTCCTCCTCCTCCTCCTCTTCCATCTCCTCCTCCTCTTCCTCCTCCTCCTCTTCCTCCTCCTCCTCTTCCTCCTCCTCCTCTTCCTCCTCCTCCTCTTCCTCCTCTTCCTTCTCTTCTCCTCCTTCTCTTCCTCCTCCTCCTCCTCCTCCTCCTCTTCCATCTCCTCCTCCTCTTCCTCCTCCTCCTCTTCCTCCTCCTCCTCTTTCTCCTCCTCCTCTTCCTCTTTCTCCTCTTCCTCCGCCTCCTCCTCTTCTCCTCCTCCTCTTCCTCCTCCTCCTCTTTCTCCTCCTCCTCTTCCTCCTCCTCTTCTTTCTCCTCCTCCTCTTCTTTCTCCTCATTCTCCTCTCCCTTCTCTTTCTCCTCCTTCATGGTGTCGTAGATGAACAGAGAGACGTTGGAGCAGATGTTGTGGATGACGGCCCAGAGATAAGATGTAGATCCTGACTGTCTCTCAGGCCAACCTGATTTTTAAAAAAATGAAATCATTGACTACCTGAAGGTATATGATGAAATAAATCTTTTAAATCTTCATCGGCTCGATGATTCTATTATTTATATGCATGTATCATATCTGAATATTTGTATAAACAAAAGTCATATCATTTTTTTTTCTGCCCCTACTTTATAGGAATCTTTTTTTTTTTTGGGGGGGGGGGGGGTCAGTTTTTAATTTGTTGTTGTTATTGTTCGTTCTTTAATTGATGTTTTTATTCATTCATTTGACTGTTCGCTTTATTTTGTGTTACATAACGCATCTTTCTTTATTCGACCACTGATAAATACACCCTTCAATTTTCTTTCTTTATGCCCCCCCCCCAAAAAAAAAAAGTAAAAGTGGTTTATTTCTAATTCGATACCATGATTTACAAATGTTGCTGGAATGACATGATTTTCCGGGTTTTTCCTTTACTTTTTTGTAAACTATGACTCTTTTTTTTTTCTTTCTGTCCCCAACAAGTTTTTTTTTATCATTACGCCACTGCTTTTACCAACCTAAGGGGAGTGCGATCTCCTGTGTCCTCACTACCAACAATGGTGCATTCCTCGTGGACGGCGTCGATCTCTCTCTCATCCTCCCTAATCCCGATTTTCTGGACGAACTGGGGCCCGGTCTGGAAGACGCTGTCGCAAGCGTTGCGAATATAAGCCCAGATACTAAATGTGAAGTCAGGATATCTTTCTGGGTTGCCTGATTGAGAAAGTAAATTAAAAATCATTGACTGAATGAGATGGTAGCTTTAGGAAAGGAGTATACTTGTATTTGATAATCGTTGTTATTTTAATTTGTATTATTATTGTTATCATTAATTGCATTATTATCAATATAATTATCATTATTAATTCTTATCATTATTATCAATAATACTCATTATTTAATTTATCATGGACAAACCTTGGGGGTACGATCTCCGTGGACGACCACGGCTCTCTCCTCGTCGACGTCCATCGCACCCTCACCTTCCCCAATCCCTATATTCTGGACGAACTGGGGCCCGGTCTGGAAGACGCCATATACTAAGGGGTTGCGGATCAAGGCCCAGATCAGGGAGATCAAAAACATGGTCTCGATCTCATCAGCACAGACTTCACCAACCTGTGACGTTGTCTCGTCGTCACTGGTGACGTCATTACCTGAGGAGCTGCTAGACAGGAAGTTACTGCTATCCTCCTCTATTTTAGTAAGTAACAAAGTATATAATAAAAGGGTGTTGCAGGGATT